AAGGTTCTGGATTCTCCCCCAGGGAACCTCATCTGATTACTCAAGGCCAACTTGCTGTGGAAGATCTGCCTCTGGTTGCTTGTGGGTGCTGGGGAAATCAGAGTGTGAGCAAAGTCTCTGGGGGATGTGGCTGAACACTCGCAAGAAGCAATCTTCTTCCAAGTTCCTCTGCCCTGGGCCCGCTGTGGCGGGAAAAGGCTGGGTGGAAGAAGGTGGCCACAGGAGGTCAGGAAACTTCCACCAGAATGTTACTACTGGCCTTTTTGCCCTCTTCCTGTTCTCCATGGTGGCTGCCTGTGCTCAATTCCTCCTGTGTCTGTCCAGTGTCCTTAGAACGCATTCCAGGTGCCCACCGGGCCCAAAAGCTCTCCTGCACATCTGCAGCCCACCTGGCCAACCTCTGCAGGAGAGAAGCTGCTCCTCACCCCGTCAGCCTTCCTAGTTCCCGAACTTTCCAAAGTCATCACTGCTTAGGGCCTCTGTGCAGGCTGTTCCCCCGCCCAGACCACTCTCCTACTCAGCAGATCCTCAGGGCTTCCCAGCTAGTCTTCTGTCTTAGCTCACATCCGCCTCCCTGACCCTCACCCCTCCCAGCACCCTCAGGGACGTCCGCTTGAGACTGTCTCTGGGTTTTTATTTTATCAACTGTCTCTTACCCTCTCTCTGCCCTCCAACACACACATACACACACACACTCACACTCCCTCTCTCTGACCAGATACTCCATACGGCCTTGTTCATGGCTGCATTCCCAGCTCCTTGCACAGTAGTTGATGCATGTAGCTGCTTAGTATTTGTTGACTGAACTGATGCTTAAGGCAATTAGAAATTACAGGCTGACTTGGAATTTTAGCCTAATTTGGTTGGTAGAAACTTCTGTCATAAGGGTTAGGAAATAAATTGTAAAAGTGCAATTGTGGGAAGGTTTGTTCTGCTTCCGGTCTGTAGAAAAGCATTTTTAATATCCACACTTTGGAACCGCAGAGATTCTGCCGCAATTTAAAACCCTGAGTCTCAGAGTATTGATCTGCCGTGGGTCCAAGGAGCCTCTGTGTGTAAAACAAAGCAAATGGATTGGGGAGTGATCCACAGAAGTGTTTTCTTTGGCCAATGATATGTTTTGAAGTAAATTTAAAATGGTTGTCAAGGCTGAAGAATCGGAAGATTTCACATAGTCGATTTCAGCATTCTTCAGAAAGCTCTTTAGATCTGATACCACTGGGCCCGAGATCCTGCATGGCAGTGCCTGGCTGGTCCTGAGGCGGGACAGTGACATCCGTCCCCACTGGGCTCGCTTCCTCTGTGTTCTCTGGCTGGCCCTACACAGGGAGTCACTTGAGGTGTGTGATCCTGGTGTGCTCAGAGGGACCATCACCTTGTCCTGCACAGAGACCTGTAATTACATTTCCTTCCTGGAGGAAAGGGTGGGCTGGCTTCTGAGGCCCTCAGCACCAGCACCCGCTTCAACCTGCCGTTAGTTCTGTGAACAGGTTTGGCGTCCTCGCCTTCTCTCCCAAGAGACGTGAGATACCTGGCTGAGGGGCCCAGGGGCCGCGGCATGAGATGACAGTGTGCAAGGCCCCAGGGCCCAATGCTGCAGCAACCAGTGCCCTCATGGGGCTCAGGACTGGGCCCTTGCTAGGTGCCTCCCCTCTCACTTCCTGCCCCCCTTCCTGAGCCCACGGAGGAGGCTTCTGGGAAAGGATGACTCATGAGCTCCCAGAATTTTCCAGCTAGGAAGGGGCTGGGAGAGCTTCTCATTAGCCTCAGGCTGGACCAGAAATAACCATGATAATTCGATCTGATCTTGAACCTCCTGTGCTGTGTGGGTTCTGCTTTGGTACATAGATACACCCTTCCGACCACTTGAAGTGTTTCAGGATACTTGTTTCCTTTTCCCTCTGAATTTTAATTTGTTGCAAACTGCATTGTTGTGATCAAGAACAAAATAAAAGGGGAGATTACCTCTGTGCCAGCCCCATAATATACTTCTATCTTCTTTTCCAGTCCTTTTCCATGTGTATACATATTCGTAATTGTGGTAAAAATTCATTCACTCAGCATTCTCAGAACCCAGAACAGAGGATGGCATGCAGTAGGATTAAGTAATTATTGGTTGACTGTAAAATATTTTGTTTTCTCAACTATGAAGTGAACCTTCACTGATGTTTTAATTGTTTTCTAATTGCATGTACACTGATTATTATTGCATCAGATTGTTAGAATTTATTTGCCATTTTACTATGTTTAGATTTTACCCCCAATTTATCAGGATTAGAAATACTATTGCAATGAGCATTTTTCTTCACATAAGTGTCTTTGAGTGTTTTGAATTATTTTCTTAGGGTAAATTCCAAGCATTTAAATTTCTGGATCAGAGGAAAGAAAAATGAGAATCATAGAAATTGCTTTTTAAAATATTTATCCCTATTGCCAGGGTTGTTTGAGAATATTAGTTTTATTATAACCTCATCAGCATTTGATTATAATTTTTAAATTTTTGCTAGTTTAGTAGTCAAAGATGGTACCTAATTGTTTTAATTTGCTTATTTATAAATGTGGTTATTAGTATGGGTTGAAGAATTGTCTAATGCTCTTGTGTGCCTTACCTATTTGAGGATTTGTATATCTATTAGAATATAATTTTTTAGTATCTATTAGAATATAAATTTTTTTAGTTGGATTTGGGTACATTTATAATATAAATAGATTGACTCAATTTTTCTATTATAGTGACTGCAAACCTTTTCCTAGTGTGTGATTTTCCATTTTAAATGTCAGGTGTGTTTTCATAGGTGTGACTTTCTGTTCCTTGGAGAGTCTGAGGACATGATTGCCAGAAGGACCTCAGAGAGCTAACCTGGCCTTGGTGTCTCAGCGCAGACCCAGTGCAGAGAGCAGAGGCCAGGCTCACGGACACGGCTGGAAAGGGGGAGCCTGGGCTGCCCAACCCCAGCCTGCCTCTCCTAACCTGGAGCCCTCCGAGCGGCAGTGTGCTGCTCTCTGAGCTCCTCAGAGTCGCCACTGCTCTCCTGGCCCAGAGAGTGCTTTTGCACTGGGTTCATGCATCTCTCGTTTGGACTCCACTGAGCACGTGCCACTGCCACTCTGATGAGGAGCCAGCCATTCCATCTGGGCATTTAAAAATATTCTGGGCTGGGGAATTTGGAGGAACCCATAATCGATGTATGAACATTAAGCTCTTAACAGGCAGTAAATGCAGTTTTGATATTGAATTACCCTCAGAAGATGCATTAGTTCATCAATAGCAGCAACACCTGTCTGCCGGGTGGTGTCCTAGATATTTGGGTCTGGAAAAAGGGAGGAGGAGGGATGTGGCCCCGGCTCAGGATGTGCTCTTGCCTGGAGGAGCTTTGGAAACCAGAGGGCTTCTATCTTCTGCTTTGCAGTCTGACGCTTGTCACTGGGAAGGGAGGGCCCCAGAACTGGCCATCAGGAGACCTGGTTTAGAAGCAAAGATTCTTTTCCCAGCTCTGCCGCTATGTAGCCTGGGTCGTCAGCTCTGCGGATCCTTAGGGCATGTTCATGGTCAGGGCTGTTCATCATTCGGCATATGTACAGTGAACACTTACGTAGTCAGGACTCTGTGCCAGGCCCTTGGATTGCTACGAAGGTGGCCGAGGCTGGTCCACCCTCCTGAGTTATACTTTACTGGGATAAACAGAACTACTAATATCTACCCAAACAAACAGAATTATAAATGAGGGTGAATAAAATGCCAGGGCCCAGAGAGGACTCAGTAAGTAAATTATTTTGAATATAGCTGGAGGGAAGCTTCTCAGAAGAGCTGTATTAAGCTAGTCCTTGAGGGGTGGATAGAATTCTGGGTGGGGGTGAGGGAGGAAGATAGAAGGGAAGGACGAGGACCGCCCAGCCTAAGTAACAGAAGGACGGACACCCGAAGGCAAATGTCATCACCCAAGGTGGCTGAGGTGCAGGGAGAGGGGGAAAGGAGAGGCTGGGGCCAGAGTCAGCACTCGTGAACAGTGTTGGGCTAACGATTAGCGTGGATCACACCGCCCTGCGCGGGGTAATTGGTTCTGCTGTCCTGTGGCATGACTCTCTGCAGCAGTGTTAACACGTGGGGGCCAATGTCCCCGTGTGCACTAAGTCCTGCCCCCGCCGTGTGCATTTGTTTACTCGTGATGCCCGGTGAATGCCTGCATTTACTGTATTAATGTATTCAGTATACATTTAAAATTACAGTGATACATATAGAAAACTTTTCTGTGAAATTAAACTTGTCATACACACTTCATTTTAATTACACGTCTACATAAGTAAAAACAGGTACACTAACGAATGTGTCAGTTTTTTAACACACGCGTTCAGAAAACCTACTTTATTATGTAATGGACTTTCGGCTTTAACGGACACCCCCCTGCCCAAATTAGTCCGTTATAGCGAGGTTTTACTGTATCCGAAGCCTGGGGAGATTCCAGGTCTTGAGTGGAAGAATTCTAAGAAGGGAACCCAGGAAGGAAGACACGTGAGCCTAGGAGGGGCGGGGTCCACGTGCTTAGCAGAGGCCTCTTTTCCTGATACACCTGATGACACCCATCTTCCATAGCCATTGATCCCAGTGACAGTGGGTGGCAGGTGTGTCTCTGGTGACTGGCTCCAACCTGGTCAGACTCTTTACTTACTGGTCTCAGCCTGGTAGGCTGCAGTGGGGAGAGGGCCAGCAGATGCAGCCCACTTGAAGTCTATTTGCTTAGTTGGGAGAAATCTTTATTAATGGTGTTTATTTGTTCATTTATTCAACAAATATTTATTGAGTGCCTACCATGCTCACACCAGGAGCTTAACAGTAAAGTGGACAGGAGGCAAATGCTGATAGTGTAGAGGTGTCTCAAATTCTGGAATTTGGGACAGGGAATTGGATACCTCGTTCACTTAAGTCCGGATTCTCAGTGCTGAATTTCCTGTATATAAATTGCTGCTCTCCTGCTGATCACGTTCCTGTGCTTCCATCCTAGATGCCTTAGGGCCACGGGAACTGCCCCAGAGGACTCATTCCTGTTGGCCAGAAGTTGCCGAGCAACTCACATGTGCTTGGCAGGCTCCCGTGTGGTCTCCAGCTCCCACTGACACTCCTGGGAATCCAGTCCTTCGGCCTACCCACCTGGCATCCTCCTTGGCAGCCCACTTGAGCCATGGAGGCCCCGGAGGTCCCTGTGGGCTCGTTGATTGACTTTGAGACCGAGCCATCCGCCTCCTCGCCCATGGAGGCGCTGCCACCAAAGCTGCAGGATGGGGACAGCTCCCAGGGTGACGGTGGGTCGGAGAGTGAAACCACAGAGTCAGCAGACAGCGAGAACGACATGGGCGAGTCGCCCTCACACCCGTCCTGGGACCAGTACCGCCGCTCCTCCTCCAACGACTCCTTCTCTTCCAACCAGAGCACGGAGTCGGCCAAGGACGAGGAGGCCCTGGAGCTCAGGGAGTTCATGCGCAGCTACGTGGAGAAGATCTTCTCTGGAGGGTAAGTCCAGCGGCTTCTCCGCTCTGGTCTCCGTCCCTGAGCAGAGCATCACCTGGGGCCCGGGCTTCCAGCCCCTCACCATCCAGCGATGGGCCTCCCCAGGGGTTCACAACCCCACCCTGGGCTGCAGATGGAACCAGGTGGGGAATTTCTTCCCTCCCACCACTGCTTTGACCACTCCACTGACACCCTTACCTCATCACGGCTGAACCCGAGAGGACACTAGTTTTGCCTTCCCAGTATCTGAGCACTTCCAGGTTAGCTCCTCGTTGGCATTCTGTGCCAGGGTCATATTTGGCTAGGGGGCCGCAATTATTAGCTGACATTAAACTTAGGGACAAGATAAGGCAAGAAGGGTTAGCGACCCACGCTCCTTGTGATGCTCGTGGGCAGCTGAGCTGCCAGGATGGGGCTCTTCCTCGCACCTCTTTCTGGCCTGTCTTTCGCAGTTCTCCAAGGGGTGGGCCAGGAGCACCGCCAGGTGGAGTAGCAGGAAGAGGAGGTGGGAGTTGGAATGCAGACAGAGGAGCAGGGAATCTGTGGATCGGCCTGCAGCTCTCCTGCCTCGTGCATTCATATCTCAGCCACGGGCAAAGGGAGGCAAACAAGCCCAAATTCACGGTGGCAGGTGTTGACTAGGGGTCTCACATCATTCACAGCAGCACGTTCGGGGCTGAAGGTCCTGCTACCCAGACTGTAGGTCCGAAGCACCCAGCCCCACTGAGTCCGAATCTGCCTTTTAACAAGGCCTCTGGACCGCTCACACACGGTCCGGTCTGAGCCGCTCTGGAAGAGGGGACGTTTCCCAGCTCGTTAGAGCAGTGAGAATGTCTGCCAGCGACACTGCGAAGAAGGCGTTCTTTCTATCAGGATTTAGGTCCTTTGTCAACGGGCAGAGCTGGTGTCTGCCTTTCTCAGGTGTGCCTCAGTTTTCGATGCAGTTAAAGGGCAATGTTCAGCCCTGGGCGGTTTGGCCCAGCGGTTAGAGCATCAGCCCTTGGACCAAAGAGTCATGGGTTCAGTTCGGGTCAAGGGCACGTACCTCAGTTGCAGTTTGGTCCCCAGCCCTGGTCCGGGTCATGCGGGAGGCAGCTAGTCGATTTCTCTCTCTCTCTCTCTCTTTCTCTTCCCCCCACCCCGATCCCCCTATCCCCCCTCTCTCCCTCTCCCTCTCTCTTACCCCCTTCCCCCACTCCCCCAAATCTATCTGAAGATAAATGGAAAAGTATCCTCAGGTGAGAATTAAAAAAAAAAAAAAGAAAAAGGCGTGGGGGATTTTCCAATGATAATCCATCTCTTTGACTATCCCAAAACACCTGTATGTTTGCTTCTGAATGCATTCTAGCAGGGCAGTAGATGCGGCTTCCTACTTACTTTGCTTGAGTAACACTGACAGTAGTCAGCGTTCTCTGAGCACACCCCGTTAATGAAAAGGAGGGAAAGCCCCCAAGCTTGTCAGTTTGCCAGGAAGGCTGGTCTGTGTTTGCGGCAGCCTGTCGGCGTTATGGAACACGGACAGCTGGATTGGATGCATTTTCAAGAGCAAATGGCTGGCGAATTCTCGTATTTCATCTAGTGTTTGGGGATAAACAAGACCAAGATGTTTTCTACAGAACCTTAAATGAAACATCACACGAGTCAATTGATCTCCCACTCCTACTTTATTTTTCTAGTCATTAAATTTGGAGTAGAGTATTTGTCCCCCTAGGGATCTGAGACCAATGAGCTCTTTGTTTGCCCTGGAGGGGGTGACCCCCTGCAATCCCCTGGTTTCCACCCCTAACAGAGTGGACAGAGGTGAGCAGACTGGCTTTTCAGAAGCTCAGAGGATTAAGCAACCGCACCCTCCTTCTGTTGGTGGGAGGTGGTATCAGACACACTGTCTGACTGGGACAGGCATTCCTGAACTCAGTGGGTGGATCCATGCTGGCTTCAGCATCAGATTAGGGAGATGAGCTGAGAACCAAGCCTTCAGAGAAGGGTGATGTCAGCCTTGTTAGCGCCTGGGCCCCCTGACCCGAGGCAGGAGGACAAGGGAGCAGAACAGGGATGGAGCCCCCGTTCACTCCCCAGCTGTGTCTGATCCTCCAAGTCCGGCTCCTCACTCTGAAATAGAAAGAACACGTTTCCTTGAGAGGGATACCCAGAGGGTAAGATGAGCCAAAGTAGGTCAGGCAGCTGCACTCAGCTGGGGTCCCTCTCTCTTCTCTTTCCCTACTACAACCATTTTTGTTGCAGAGGACTGAAAGGTTTTCCCCTCTGCTCTCTTCCTCAGGGAGGACTTGGACCAGGAGGAGAAAGCCAAGTTTGGGGAGTACTGCAGCAGCGAAAGCGGAAAAGGCCGGGAGTGGTTCGCGCGATACGTGAGCGCCCAGGTAAGGAGGTGCCCTGAGGAGCGCCCGGGGGGGGGGGGGGGCTGGTGATGTGTAGCATCCTCTCTTTTTACCTCCTCCACTCAGGAGAAAAGAGTCAAGGGAAATGACTCAACAGAAAAAAAAAAGTAACACTTACCTCAAGATGTTCTGGAAAAGCCTGTTTAGAATAGTGGGGAGTGGGAAGGAGCTCACTTGGGTGCCCTGCTGGAGAGGGATGAGTGAGCAGACGCCTGTCCACCGCTCGAAATTTCAGGAAAGTTAGTTTTTAAAGGCAAACATGTGGCTTATGTCCAGGCATATTTTAATTAAATAACCTACAATATTCAGTTTTTCTAAAGATATTTTCAAGACAACGACAGCCTGTAAGTTCAGAAAAGAATTGTTTTGCAAATATCCAATAGGTTCTATTTTTTCCTGTAAAGTGGCTTAAGTTCTTAGTTTTAAAGTATTTTTATCACAAATAATTTATTCTTCAAAGAAAAGTTAGAAAATGCAAGTAAGCAAAAATACAAGAACTACTCATAAATCTACAATCCAGAAATAGCCAATGTTGTCATTTTGGGCTTCTGTCCCACTAGACTTTTCTGTGCGTGGGTGAGGGCGTGAGGTTCCCAGTTTGTACAGTCGCATCAGGAGATGCAGGAAAACTCTGCCTGCGCTCCAGCGAGCTGTGGTCCTGTGCTGGGCACCAGCACCTGCCGGGGTCTTGGTTTCTGTGGAGCAGGGAAGGTTGTTAACGGCCGGGGGCTCCATCCCAGCTGCCTGGAGAGATGCTCAGCCTGGTAAGCCCACAGCCTCTCTGAGCTGCGGGGTACCTCTGCCCCCTGGCCACCCCGATGACGTGCCTTCCCTCTCCTCCACAGCGCTGCAATTCCAAGTGTGTCTCAGAGCCGACCTTCTACCGCCTCGTGCAGTCGTTTGCAGTGGTCCTGTTCGAGTAAGTAGTGCCGTTGCTCAAAGCCTGTGTCCAAAGGAGCATGTCTCCCTCCCCTCCCCGCCCTGCAGTCGCCCAGTTGTGAATACCCAGCACGAGCCACCAGCTGGCCGTTGCTGTGACACACGCAGCATCCTCTAAAAGGAGCCGTCGTGACCAGCGTCTCGTGGGAGGAGTTCGTGAGCATCCTCAGCTGGCAGTGGAGCTGAGAGGTCGCGCTGGGTGTGAGTCAGTTCCTCCATCAGCTTCAGGGAAGGCTGTGATTACTGCAGTCGGCCTTACCCTCCTCCAGCAGGGGCCTGGCGTTCTCTTGATTTCCTGTTGGGAAGTACTTCAAGCTAGGTGACCGCCCACTTAATGATACGGTTGGGCGACAGAGCCTGCTCCAAGGAGGACCTCGGCACTGCGGGAGCCTTTTCTCACAAAGCATCCATAGACAGTGTGGGTGGTGGGGGGCCCCCTCTGCCCCATGTAGCTGTGGGAGGCAGGCCTGGGGACTCACCAGGCTCTCCCCCCGAGGCCCCAGGGCTCCAGGACGGCCAGACCCACTTCAGACATCTTGGACTTGTATCAGAGTGGGTGACGTGTCCTCCAAAGCAGGAATCTAAGGGACACATTTAAGGCTGGGGAAGCCGAGCAGTGACTTTCATGACCCAGGTGGACGGGACCGATTGTGGGTGGAAAAAGAAGGGGCTGATCTGACAACCACTTGCGTCCCCCTTCCCCCGTCCCCTCAGTGTGGCCTCCCAGCAGGTCCTGGTCCCGTGGCTTATACCACGGCCACCTCCCTGTGTCCCCGTGTCCATGTTGTCCTTCCCCTCCTTCTCACAGCAGAAACGGAGCTCTACTCTTCCATCTGAATTCCCCACGTGTCTGGTATCTCCTCCTCTATTCCACCATGAACACGGGGCGTGTCCTGGGGAAAGTGAGCCAAAGAGCCGAGGAGCTGTGTTTCCTGCCCTTGTTCAGAACATCCCCGGTTCTGGAAACAGTCCCAGTCGGGGAATCGAGGTGTGCCCACCTCCGCTGGGAGCACGGAGGGCACCCCTGTAAAGCAGCCCCCTGGTTTGTCTTGTGTGCAGCCCGCTGTCAGACACTGAACCTACTTAAACCGCCGGACATTTACATCGACAGGAATTTTCATGACCCCATAGTTTGTGTAGATTTGCCTGTCCCACATGGTAACATATTATTTAATTCTCAACTTTGTGTTTTTCCTTTGATAAATAAAATTGAGGGCAAGTTTCAACCCTGCCCAAACAAAATCTTCCCATTACTTTGTAAGCATACACGTATTGTTGTGTGGGCGCAAAACAAAACACAACGTCATGCCCTGGGCAGTTTTGCTCAGTGGTTAGAGCGTCCGCCCCCAAACCAGAGAGTCCTGGGTTCCGTTCCCACTAAGGGCAGGTACCTTGGTTGCAGTTTGTCCTTGGCCCCAGTTGGGGTCATGTGGGTGGCAACCAGTCAGTGTTTCTCTCTGACATCGAGGTTTCTCTCTCTCTCTTCCCCCCTCTCTCCCTCCTGCTCTATCTGAAGATAAATGCAAAAATGTCCTCGGGTGAGGATAAAAAAAAGTCATACTATTTTGAAATATTTATTAATTTTTAAAAAATAGATGTGTTTTATAATTTTTAGTTTATTAGTATCTTTAGTTTTTACTTTTATTTGGTCTGTTATGGTTTTATTAGTAGTTTAGTTCTTTAGTTCTTTATTAAATTATTTTTATAGCCCCACTGGTGTGGCTCAGTGGATTGAATGCCGTCCGGTGGACTGGGAGGTTTCGATTCGTCCCCAGTTGGGACACGTGCCCGGGTTGTGGGCTCAATCCCCAGTATGGGGCGTGCAGGAGGCGGCCATTTGATGTTTCTCACATCCATGTTTCTATCTCTCTCTCCCTTCCCCTCTCTCTAAAACATCAATAAAAACATTTTTTTAAAATTATTTTTATATTAAAAGATCAACAAAAATGGCCCAATCCCACTGTCTAGATCAGTAGTTCTCAACCTGGGGGTCGGATGACCCTTTCACAGGAGTCACCTAAGACCATCAGAAAACACATATTTCCGATGGTCTTAGGATCCGGACACCGCTTCTCTATCCGTCTCCAGGCGGGTCCGCCCACATGCAGATCCGCCCACATACTATATGAGGAACTGTATTAAATAAAGGGTCGTGGCCGTAGGAAGGTTGAGAAGCACTGGTCTAGATCATTTCTGTTGACTTTTTTTAAAAAAAACATTGTTTCTCCAAGATTAAAAACTAAACAGGAGCCCTGGCCGGTTTGGCTCAGCGGTTAGAGCATCGGTCTGCAGACCAGAGAGCCCCGGGTTCGGTTCCCGCTAAGGGCACGTACCTCGGTTGCAGTTTGTCCCCGGCCCCGGTTGGGGTCGTGTGGGTGGCAGCCACTCGATGTGTCCCTTTCACGTAGATGTGTGTCTCCCTCTTCCCCTACCCCACTCTATCTGAAGATTAAAAAAAAAATGAAACAGGAAAGAAAAGTGGGAAAGGGAACAGGACAGAACGGCACCGAAGCCTGCAGTGCAGAGGACAGCCTTTCGCAGCCCTTCCTCCGACTTCGGAGCCGTCTCCCGATGAAAACCGCTGCTGACGATGCGCCTGTCGGCAAATACATACTAGTTTCCAAAAAGGCAGTGCGTTCACATACAGTTCTGCATTTGTAACGGCTGTGTTGTTACCTTTGTATGCTACATTTGCATTGTGATATATCAGTGTACCATAATGTATTCAACCCATGCCCTGCGCATGGCACTGAAATGGTCGCTGGCCACTCTTCTCTAACCGGCGCTGCTGCAGTGGCCACAGCGTAGCTCTGCACCGTCACAGTGCAGGCGGCGAGCGGCGGCCACGCTCTCTTTCTGAAGAGGTTCCCTTTATCGTTGGCTAAGTTGAATGGATCTGTGTGTATCTTATAAATCATGATATAGTAAGTCTAATAGAATGTAGTCAGTATGATTCTTTACATTCGTAGAACATTATTTTTAGTACATCAAAGGTTCTGGTATGAAATCATTTCATTTTCAGCAGGTGACACAGTATTGGTAGGTATGCATATTCCCAGTGGTTCTCAAAGTGCCATCCCTGGGCCAAGAGCATCAGAACATCAGCGTCACAGACAGTTTGTAAGAAATGCATGTTCTCAGGCCCGGCCCCAGGCCTGCTAAGCCACCCATTTTGGGGGTGCCCAGCAATCCACACCTTACCGTGTCCTCAAGGTGATGCTGCTGCTGCTCAAGTCTGAGAGCCGCTGACTGGAGCGTGTCATCTAATTCACCGCCAGTTCCGGAGAAGCAGGGGCTGGGGGGCCACCCGCTTTGACCTGAGACCGAGGCCCGGCTTCCAGCCCTGGCACTGCTCCTGTGCGTAGGGCTGAGCTTCCTTGGCCTTGGCCGTTCCACCGTGAAAACGAAGAGGCCAGGCTGACACGTGAACTTTCTCCTGGGCAGGATCAGACCCAGGCCTCTCTGGGTGCCTGCGGGGAGCTCCTCCCCTCGAGCCACGGGGGGTATTTTTGTTGCCTCTCCTAAGTAGCATCTGGGGAGTGAGATGTTGATTTAGGCGTGTTTGTAAAGGATTTTGGTCTTGTTTCATGAACTTGCCATAAGAAAATTAGGTGGGGGGAGAAAAAAAGAAAATCAGCCAGAACGATGATTCAGCCGGTCCGCCTTGCGTCTCATTTCAGGTGCCATCAGATGGATGACTTTGGGCCTGCCAAGAACCTCATGACCATGTGCTTCACTTACTACCACATCGGTAAGACGCGGGGGCGTGGCTCACCTGGAGGGCAAGGCAAGACTCGCCAGCTTCCAGCAGGGCACCAAATAAGGAGTCCCCCGATTCAAGGCAAAGCCGCGAGGCTCCAGGGAACAGTGAACGCTGAAGTTAGGGAGGGAGTGAGCAAGGAGCGAGGTTCCCGAAACAGGAAGAGACGTGGTCTGCATTGTGGGTCAAGTCCTTGTCCACAGTACGAAGGAAACCACCTAGCTGTTAGGAGGCAGGACAGGTCATGATGGGCACAGGGATCACAGGATGTAAGGACGTCCGTTTCCGGTTTTAGCAAAATAGGACACAGGGCTGGCTGTTGAAGGAGGGTGAGCAGTCTAGGACTGGAGGCTGGGAAGTGTTCGCGGGTATGGGCCAGAGATGCCGCCCTGAGGACTGCAGACCCTTCCGTATGCAGAGGCGCTGACCGCTCTCCTGGCTCATTCCATGGGAACACTCTGGCACACTGGCGCTTGAGGGCTCCCTGTCTCAACTGCTGCTGCAGAGTCTCATTCAGGCCACGGTCAGGAGAAGGCTGCCGGGGCTCTGCACATGGCAGTGCCCGCCTACCTCCCTTTCCGCCCTGTCTGCACGACCCACGGCTTCCCTCTCACGGTGTAGCCCTGTCCCCCGAAACTTGGTTTTGTCTCTCCTCATTCCCAACAGCCCCTCAGTTCATGCCCCTCAGTTCTGCTGGCAGGAGCCGGTCTGACTGCTTGAGCTCGGCCCGGTCACCACCGGGCAGGCTTTTGATGCTGGGCCACTCATCAGCTGCCTTTGGGTCAGATGGGAACGCATCACCCACACTCGGTTCCTCCTCAAAGAACAGCTGGACCCTGCTTATCTGAGTCGGATCTGTGCACAGAGCAGCTTAAATTAGTACAAGATACTCAATACCTTGACCTGCACAGTGCCCTTTGACCTGTTGGGGCGCCTTGGCCTGCAGGGGTGTCTAGGCCTGAAGGTCCATACACTGTCCTTAGAAAGGGACATTCCTTGTGTGGGGGACATTCCAGAATACCCTCCTCCTACCACCTCCCGCATCCAGCACCCTCCTGTTTCAGGCCCATCCAGGTGCCATCCGGCCTGTCCGGAGTCTGCATGCCGCCTCCTTCCTCTGCTGTGCTCTAGCCCTGGGCCTCACGACCATGTCACGCGCTCACTCTGTGCGCACTGCCCGCCTTCCTGGGCTGCGTGCTGCTTTGGGGCTGGATCCTTGCCCGTTTCTCCTTTAGCCCTGCGGCACCTGGCTGACTTCCTACACAGTCAGTGCTTGGTGACTGCCCTCCCCAGGCTCACATCCTCTCCGGGGTGCCACTGAGCCGCTGGCTTCCGCTGCCGTGTCCACGGCCGTGGTGGAAGGAGGTCTCCCTGCCACGCCGGAGTTGCTCCGGCAGCTAACAGTTCCTTTCCACCCTCGGTCATCACAGCTGCAATATGGTTCTTACTCCCACTTACTTTCCCCATCTGGCTCTAGGTAAACCACACCTGCTTCCCTCCGAATCCAAGGAGAAGCCTGCGGGGAGCATCGACTCCTACCTGAAGTCGGCCAACAGCTGGTTAGCAGAGAAGAAGGACATTGCCGAGCGGCTACTGAAGAACACATCGGCCAAGACGGAGAACGTCAAGGGCTTCTTCGGGGGGCTGGAGACCAAGCTGAAGGGACCCCTGGTCAGGAAAAACGAGTAGGTGTTGCCTGGGGTGCATCTGCGTCTCACTGGGGAAGGGCAGGCAGGCTGGCGTACAAACAGTGGAGGTTGCATTGAGTTTGAGGTGACGAGGGGTCCCTGGCCTGGTAATGGAAGAATCTCTTCGCCCCTGATGATCTCTGGGGCTGAGAGCTGCTCCCGAGAAGCGCAGCTGCCGGCCCAGCTTTTCTCTGCCCCCCGACTTTTCTCAGATTTCCAGATGCCATTCGGTCTGTTGACGTGCAGGGCTGTCCTGTGGGCCCGTGTTTTCCAGGGTGGATGAGGAGCTTGTGGGAATTGCCAGGTGGCAGGAGGGACATTCAAACCCTCCTTCCTCCTTCCTCTGTGCTGGGAGCTTGTATTAAAGGAACGAGGCCGACTCGGGAGAAACCACTGTCCCCAGGACAGCAGCTCTCCCACGGACACTCAGGACCCTCGTAACAGGCGTGTAGAAGTGAAACCTTCCACGGAGAAAAGGGCACGTCAGCAAGAGAGCTGTGGGCCCAGGGCCCGTGCCAGCCACCCTGGGGTCCCCGCTGCCACCAGCGCTTGGTCACAACCAGCTGACTTGGCTTCCTTCCTTTGCTGGTCCACGTAGTTTTGAATTCAGAGAACATGGCGCAAAGAAGCCTAAATTGAAAAAGACTGGCAATTGACAAATACAGCATTGATTTCATAGGAAATGTTTTAGAGAAAACCACATGAAGTGTGCACACTGGTTATGAGACTGAATCCCATTTCGGCGATGTAAAACGGTTCCTTTGAGAGAGCGTGGGGTCCCATTGTCACCCTGTGGTTTCTCTCCCCCAGGGAGGATGAGAGCAAGCCCAAGGACAAGCCGCAGAAAACCGGTGAGTGCCTGCCAGCTGCCCAGCCCCAGTAACGCAGGGGTCTCCAGCCAGCCCCTCTTCTTTGCCCCAACCCACCCCCCCCATGCCCCAGCCCCATTCTGCTTGAACTCCCGCCCTATCCAACCAGCCCACCGTTACGGACGGAGCAGCACCAACAGGCAGGTTCCGAACCTTCCTGGGGGCGCCGCTGCCCCCGGAGCACAAGGCGCTGCCGCAGGGACTCCCCAGCTGCTCTCGGCCCCAGCCTGCTTCTCACTGAACTTCTGCAGAGGAGCCGCTTCTGGGGGAGAGGCTGCAGGAACTAAGCTTCTTGTCGCAGGGCAGTTCAGGGAGGAATCACCGGGGGTGCAGGAGCCCTCCAGGGACCCCTCCCTCGGGAAGGGTCCCAGCCGGGTGTGCGGAGCGGAGCAGCAGTCCTGCCCGTGGCACAGGGGAGCTGTGCTGCAGTCTCAGTGGTTTCTGTGGCCTCGGGGAGAAGCTCTGGCCTCAGCAGCGTCTGGGGGATTGGCCAACACGGAGGTGCGACCAGAGCCAGGCTCAGTCTGTCTCACCCTCCCGCAGTGACTGTGTGCAGCCCGGAGGAGGAGAGGAAGGGCGAGAAGATCTACCTGTACACGCACCTGAAGCAGCAGCCCATCTGGTAAGGCCCCCTTCGCACCTGTGGGCCTGCAGCCATGCGCCTTCACCTCCGTCGGAAGTGAAGGTCACCCGTGCCCCCCGGGACAGCCCAACTCAGACAGGGGCCGGAGCGAGGGGTGGTGAGGATGTGGAGAAACGGAAACCCTCGTACACTGCTGGTGGGGTTGTCAGATGGGGCAGCCACTTTGGAAAACAGTCTGGCGGCTCCTCAAGAGGTTAAACAGAGCTCCCCTGTGACCCGGAAATTCCACGCCTGTGACCGTACTCAGAGAATTGAAAGCGGCACTCAAGCAAAAACGTGCGCGCGTACGTTCTTAATGGCCTCATCCATGACAGCCAGACGGAGGGAGCTGTCTGAACACCCATCTAGATGCACATCGATGTATAGACACACAAAGGGGACTTACCGCGGAGTGTTACCCGGCCATGTAAAGGAACGAGGCGCCGGTACCTGCTCTAGCATGGGGGACCCCGGAACACATTTTGCTAAGTGACAGAAGGCAGACCGAAAGACCACGTAGTGTCATTTCATTTATATAAAATATTCAGGGCGAGCAAATCCCTGGAGACAGAGTAGATCAGTGGTTGCCACGGACTGAGGAAAATGTTGAATGGGGAGTCAGTAGTGGGTGTTTCTCTGTGGGGTGATGAGAATATTTTGGAAATAGTGGTGATGGTTGCACAACTCCGTGAACATACTAGGAACCACTGAATTGCGTGCTTTAAAAGAGTGACTTTCACGGTACGGGAATGACATCCCAATAAAGCTGTTTTATATGGACGAAGGTCGGGGTTGAAGGGAGAGGCCAGGGGGCAGGGGAGACCTGGCCGTCTGTCGTCCCCTGTGGATGACCACTTGTGCTGCTCAGTCCGTCTGAGCCTCTCCGTCACCTCTTTACTCACAGTAGGCGGTGTACTGGCACCTGCAGTCCCAAGGGCCTCAGACTCGCCCTCCCTCAAAGGTCACAGTCTAGCTGTGGGAGGGCTTGGCCACAACAAAACGAGGGCTGGGCTGGAGCTGTCCAGGAGCCTCCGGGGGGAGGCCCCACCTGAGCTGGGCCAGGTTCAAGAAGAAGCAGGGAGAGGTGGAAGCTGACCAGCCCATGGGACACCTGTCCAGTGGGCCTTGCTTGGGAGCTGTCTTATCACCTGCAACAGAGCAAGGTGATGACTATTTTAGGCTTTACAGGCAACCACTCAACGCTGCTGTTAGTGTGTAAGTGGGTGGGTGAGGCTGTGCTCCCGTAAACATTGATTGACACGCACAGGCAGCAGCTGGGTTTGGCCCGCCCACCAAGCCCGTAGTTCGCTGACCCCTGATCTTATTTAAGAGGAATGTTTCTTACTGTGCGTCCCCGTAAATATGTTTGCTCTCTGCACGTGGCCTGTCCCTGCCGGGTTCCCGCTTATGTCACTAGCACCTGTCCTAGAAAAGCAGGTCTCTCCGAACCCCTGCATGGTCTTGGGAGCCTGACCGGGAGATGGAGACGTGGGAAGGGCTCCGTCCGCATCCTGCCCGTAGTCTCTTCAGGTTCAGCCTGACGAACCCAGGGCTGCCCAGCTCCACCTCACCTTCCTGCCTGCACGCCACCCATGCTGTGGTTTCGCCCCGGCAGAGACGTACAGGTGCGCTCGAGGTGCTCGGCCAGGGCCCCAGGGCAGCACCTGGCGCAGGAGAGTCCTGCTGGTTTCTCTTCTCGGCCCTGAGACTTGCAGGGCATCATCCGGAGGCGGCGGGAAACTCGCTTCCTCGTCCCTCGCGGGGACCAGCAGCTGCCTTTCCCTCCTCGCGTGGGGAGACCTGACCGTGCCTCTGTCTCGCAGGCACACACTGAGGTTCTGGAACGCGGCCTTCTTCGACGCCGTCCACTGTGAGAGGAGAAAGCGGTCCCCCACGACCAGGTAGGAGCAAAGTCTGGGCCAGCTTTCCTCGGGGAAGAGGACCCGGGAGAGCTTTCTTGTCCTGTTTCTGAAGAGGAGAGCAGAAGACGGCTGAGTCCACATCTGTGTTTCTCCTTCGACCCCTCTGGCCTTGTGCCCTGCAGGCTGCCTCAGGGTCCCGGGCACAGGCTTCATGGGTGGGCGGGGTACTTGGCTTGCATGAGCTCTTCCTGTCCTGGGCTCTGGCATGACTTGGCCTGACCCTCCTAAGAAATGCAGACCCCCACTGGATGAAACTGTCCGGACCCCCAGGCCACTCTGCCTGTTCTCTGTAAGAAGCCCGGACCCTGAGCACAAACCACTGCTGCAGGACCCTGGGGTGCAGGGCTGGCCGCCACCCCCAACCTCGCGCTAACATCTGGAGAAATGCAGTTGTTGCTTTCAGCTCCTCTGGTTTGCAGCCCTTCCCAGCTCCCTGAGGGTGGTCTTGCCACTTCCAAAGCCCCCTCAGGTGGACCGTTTCACAAAGCACATGGCACGTGGCGGCCATGCGGGGTTGGCTCTGATCCACGGGGCTGGTGCTCAGGTCTCTCTCTGGCCACAGTGAGCTAAGGTGGGCACCCACTGCGCGCAGTGCCGGGCAGGACAGGGGCAGCAGCCCTGCCGGTCCTGGGCGCCCTTATTGGCCCCACCAGTCCTGGGACTTTGACGCCTCTGAACCTCTGGGGAGACCCCTTAGCCTTTGTCCCTGGCAGGAGAGAGGGCAGATCCTGCTGTTTAAGTCTTTAGTCCTCTCGCACATGGGGAGTCTCAGGTGAAACCTTTGGTTTGGGTGGCAACCGAGCCCTCATGGGAGCGGGAGGGCCTGCCGGTCCCTCTGCAGCAGTCTGCTGGGGCTGCCTTTCCTGGGGGGCCGAGGGAGTACAGGGGGCGGGGCTGACACTCCCGAGGACTCCAGAGTACTCTGCCAGGAACGCACAGGAGGAGACGCTTAGATGCTCGCAGCTGAATGGGGCTCCTCTCGTTGCTTAGCTCTCAGACTGCTAGGAAACAGATTGATCTCGATACCCTGTCTCCCTCTGTCCTCTCTGTTTCTGCCTGTAATAACCCTCCTTCTTTCGCTTGTTCTCTTTTTCCATCCACATATCTTGCATGACTTTGACATGTTCCTCTGTTGACCTGTTTCTGCTGCCGCTCCAGAGGGGATGCTGGAGAGGAGGAGAAGAAGAGGTGTGTGTCCACGTGACTTTGTTCATGTTCCAGCGCTGGGTCCCCTCTAGGGCCACCGGAGGGCGGGCGGGGGCCGAGCCCAGACACAGGTGCCACTCAGCCCTGGGATAGGCTGGCGATGGGTGAGAGCTCTCCAAGGACAGAGCACCCCAAAAGAGGAAACACGGAGGCACCCAGACCTCCCAGAAGGCCCAGTGGGAGTTCAGAGAGGAGAGAGTCAGCTCCAGTTGTGAGCAGACCGAGCGTTCCACCGGCCACCCGGGCTCCGGGCTCCCTCCAGGTCAGCCTCAAAAGCACACGCGTGGCCTCACTGCGTCACCCTGAAACCCTGGCTCGGAGGGGTGGTGGGAGCAGAGGACCTGCCTCTTCGCAGGCACACACTCCGGTGTGCGGGGTCTGCCAGACCCTCGCCCCCCATGACAGGTTTGGGGAGTCCCAGGGAAGGGACAGCTGCTCTCTCTCCTGGCCTAATGGGGAGCCTTTGTGTTGAGGGGGTCCCCAGAGAAAAAAGCCTAGGACAGGGCTGTTTCCTGGTAGCCTACAGTGGGGTCTGACTCTGACTGTTTAAACTTTGTACTTGTTTGACTTCTTCTGTAATATATTTTTAGAGTTAAAGGCTTACCCATTCAAAATATCATTTCTGATACAGTGATATCCACCTCCTCCTGCCATGGAAATTTCCCAAAACATGCTTCCTTTAATTAGTGGTGTGTGTGTGTGTGTGTGTGTGTGTGTGTGAGTTAATCCTCCCTGGAGGATATTTTTCATTCATATTTTTTTAGATAGAATGGAAGGGAAAGAGGGGGAGAGAGAGAGAGAGAGAGAGAGAGAGAGAGAGAGAGATCGTTATGAGAGAGACACATCGATTGGTTGCCTCCTGCAGGACCCCAACAATGCCGTTAGTGTCCTCGCCGTTCTCAGAGGTGGAAACGTCCCCACTTCAGAAGGCTTCCCGCTCCGCAGGCCGGTGGTCACATCACTTCCCACGGCAGCCGTCTAGACACATGTCCCGCCCGCTGGGGATTTCAGACCTTGGTCGGTGTTGGGTGGTGGACTCAGTTTAAAGGAACTGATTTGATTGCGGGCATCGCCTGACCCACTGGCTGCTAATAACCTCCCACGAACTCTCTCTTCAGAGGTCGCGTGAACGGTCCCCGTTCTCCTAGTCTCCTCGGGGTCAGGAGGAGCGGAGCCGGCTGCTGTGCCGCAGGGTGCCCAGGGGTCTGGGGCTGTGCAGTGGGCCGGTGGTGACATGGACGGTCCTGTGGGGAAGGCGGAGGGGATTAGTGTAGTGCCTGGAAGCATCCTCTGGGTATCCCGATGGGGTCCTGCCGTCTGCTCGAGGAGCCACACCGGCCCTCGTCCCGCGGCCTCCTGCTAAGCTGCAGCCGCGAGCCACCTTGGTCCCCGGGCCAGGAGAGTGGGGAGGCGAAGTGTTGATGTTCTTGGTTCCGTTTCTCTTCCTCTGGCTTCTCCATTACCCCAGCCCCTCGTCCCTCATACTGCCTCCTCTCGCCCTCCTCCTTGATCTTTCTCTCAGTCTTGCCTTAGGCCCAGCACCCAGAGTTTAATTCTTGGGGGGAGACAGGCTAACATTAGCTTCTCCTCAGCATCCTGCAGGCGGCACACTTCTCAGACGCGAGGGGCGGGGGTGCCGAGTAGTGCGGGGTGGGGCGGTCACGTCCCCTGGGACAGAGGAAGGGGAGACAGTCCGCTGCAGGGAGCCACTGGGGACAGCTTCCACGTGGGGACACAGAATTAACGTGGCACAAAGAGCCCCCTCCCCTCCCCCACTCCGAGCTCGCTAGCGTTTCTCCGCGGAGAACGGGCGCAGGCTCGTTCTTCAGGCCACCCAAGAAGCCACACACAGACCACGCCCCTTTCTCAAGGGGCTTCACGCTGTGTTAGAGGTGTGTGCTGTCTTCACGTGGGCACAGGTCATGGTTCACGGGCCTGAGGGAGGCCGAGAGTCTGGCCCACGCGCTGGGAGAGTGTGGAGAGTCAGTGCGGCTGGGAGGGAGCGGGGGGGGGGGGGGACTGCAGAGCCCAGGTGCTGCCCGGCAGTGGGGCGGTGGGCCTTCCCGCCTCCCTGCTCGCTGGGCCTCCGGGCACCGCCGCCCACAGTGGGCCGTGCCCTCACGGGCTGGCCAGAAACACTGACGCCAGCAGGGCCCGGAGATGCAGCTCGAGTCTGAGAGCCTCCTACCAGGGTCTGGACATCACTCCCCCAGGACGCCACAGGGCCATCCCCCTGCCCGCCTCTCTGCCCGTGAAATGGGCCCCGACCTCCCGCCCTTGAGCAGAGAGAAGGGCACGGAGGGTGGCGTTCTTACCTTCTCGAGCATGTTCTAGGCACCACTCCGCACGTGTCCTTTCCCGCCGGTAGAAAGTGTCCGAGCTTCTGGGTCTCCCCATCACAGGAAGGGTGACGGGACAGGGTGCGTGGGGGCCCTCGGGCAGAGTGCAGGGGCGCGGGCGGGCTCTGCAGAAGCAAAGCAAGCAGCTCCCGCGTGAGCAGGCCGGGCCTGGGTGCCGCTGACGCCCGCAGTCCGAGGGGGCGAGTAGCTGGGGCGCAGCGGCACTCTGAACACCGTCCCGGCCACCTCCTGTGCTTGCAGGGAGAAGTGGTGCCACATGACCCAGGAGGAGCGTGACGACAGCCTGCGGTTCAACGAGAACATCACCTTCGGGCAGCTGGGGTGAGAGCACTGGGCTGAAGCCCTGCCCCTCGTGACCCGGACAGGGCGGGACGGGTTGGGGGCCAGACCCCTGCCTTCCCAGCACCACGTCACCCACAGAAAGAGCAGGGCAGCTGACACTGACACCCAGGCTCGGCGAGGACCCTCCCGATGACCGTGGCGGTGCAGCTGTGAGTCGCAGACGCTCAGGAGCATGTGCCCATTACACCTGTGCTGGCTCCAGCTCCTGAGCCCCGTCCCCTGCCACACCAGGTGGGGGTTCCACGGCGAGCACGCTGGCTGGCTGGCTGGCAGAGGGACGGTGTCGCCTCACTTTGGTCCGACACTCCCAGGCCGGCACGCGTTGGGCCTCCAGGGGAGAAGGGCCCAGATCCCGGTTCCCCCTTCCCAGGGAGGCAGGAGGGGTGCCAGTCACGGGCGTTTTCCCCGCAGCACGTTCACGCACAACATGCTGGCCTTCGGGCTCACCAAGAAGCTGTGCAATGACTTTTTGAAGAAGCAGGCTGTGATCGGCAACCTGGATGAAGGTGAGTCCGGCCAGAGGCGGCAGGCCTGCAGTGCCGGGGACCGCCGCCCTGCAGGGCGGACTCCCCACCCTGCTACAGCGCGTGTCCCCCTTTTAACGAGAAGCAGCTTGTTACACTGTCTGGTTGGGTTCCCCCCCCCCCGCCGTTTTTGTCCACTTAAATGTACAGTAGCTTCCCATGCTGGGTGGAAACCCACTGCCACCAGACAGGAGTTGCGGGGGCCGGGGGACTGCCAGCCCAGGGTTCACGGGCAGGGACAAAGGTAGACAGGGAACATGGTGCTCACACTCTGAACCGGAAAATGGCCAGACTCTCCATGAGTTGCCCCTCCTCAGTGGCCATCCCATGGCCGCCCTTTGTTACTTAAACCATGCACCCGTGGGGGGGGGGGGTCAGGAATGGGGCTTTGAAGTTAGCCTAGAGTTTTTGCTTCTGTAAGAAAAGGGGGTACGTTGCTGATGTCAGCTCTCCTGGTACACGCCCGGGCCCACCTTCATGCATGACCCCACCTGCTACAAATAGCATTTCTTCCAGGCCTCCAAAGCCTTCCACTGCAGTGCATGTTTGGATTGACCAATTCCTTTTTTTGTGTGTAATAATTTCATCCTGCCCTGGCCAGGTGGCTGAGTTAGTTAGAGCATCGTCCCACTGTGCCAAGGTTGTGGATCCAATTCCCTTTTAGAACATATAAAAAAATCAACTAATGAGCCCTGGCTGGTTTGGCTCAGCGGTTAGAGCATCAGCCCGTGATCCAGAGAGTCCCAGGTTCAGTTCCCACGAAGGGCTCGTACCTCGGTTGCAGTTTGTCCCCAGCCCTGGTTGGGGTCCTGTGGGTGGCAGCCAGTTGATGTGTCTCTCTCACATCGATGTTTCTCTCTCTCTCTCTCTTCCCCCCCTCTCTCCCTCTCACTCTATCTAAGGACGAATGTAAAAATGTCCTCAGGTGAGGACGAAAAAAAAAATCAACTGATGAATGCATGAATAAGTGGAACAACAAATCAGTGTTTCTCTCTCTCTCTCGCTCGCTCTCGCTCTCTTCTCTCTCTAAAGTCAATTTTTAAAATTATTTAAAAAAGCAAAACGTCCTCCTGCACCACATTAAAGGAGCGGCCCAACAGTGGCCTCAGGAGGCAGGAGAGTGTTAGGGACGCCCCTGGATTATCTCAGATGTTGTCACCAGCCCCACCGCAGCAGCAAGGGGCACGAACACTGTCCCCTCCTGACAGGTGGCCCCTGTGCTGTCTCCAGGATGCAGGCCTGGCTCCCGGGACACAGTGCCCCCACTGTGCCTTCCGCAGGCTTCTAGGGGGGCCCCCGGGACCACCCTCTGTATTGTTTCTGTAAGAAGAGGCTCCCCGGTTTCAAGGAGCCCACTGCCGGTGCACGGTCGTGCTGACTTGCAGCGTGCCGGTGGCCCCGCTCCGAGGCCGCGCACCTTCAGAGCCGCCCTCGCCGTTCCCGAGGAGTCCCGCCTGCCCCTCTGAGAGGAGCAGGAGCTGCCTGGCGGTGCAGGCTTCCTTCCACAGAGTGCCTCGTTCTCTCTTGCAGAGCAATACAAGCTGCTGAGCGACCACATCGAGCAGATGGCCAATGAGTAGGCCCCTGGAGGTTGCCCAAGGCACTCCGCTGGAGGACTGAAGGTCCACACCGCTTTCCTGGGCCAGCAACTGGCTGTCACCTTACCTGACGACCCCGCATGACATCGGCTGCACCCAGAGCCGCTCCACACTGCCCCAGCGCTAGCGGTTAGAAGACTCGGGCTGCCCGTCCTCCCCACCTTCCCTCCGCCTCTGTCTACTCCCCATTCGTGTGCCAAAGTGTCCCTGGGATGCCGTGGCTACAACAGGCGACCACCCTCCCAAGCGTCAGGCCTGTGACGTGGAACTGCAGGACGAGGAAGGAGGCCAGGGCCAGGACGGGCACAGGGCAGTGTCCGCCTGCAGCCTCGTGCAGGAGAGAGGGTGGGTGCGCCTGGGAATGGACACAAGGGCAGCCGTGAGCCGGCACACACCAGTGACACGGGGCAGCCATGGGTGACGATCTGGGACCCTCCGCTTCAGGCTTGGGACTGGGTGGCTCCCCAGCCGAGGCTCCTGCTGTGCTGCAGGGGTACGGGGGGGGGGGGGGGCCCTCTCAGTGCTGGTCCAAGCTGGTGCTGGCTTTCTCCTGGCTCCGCCCTCCGTGTGACGGGAACTAGAGTCACGGGAACCTCGGGGAGGAGACGCCTCCTAGTTTAGGGAGGGAGAGAGGCCAGGGTAGAGGGCTGGCCACAGCCAGTGGCCGGAGCCCCCGGGGGACATCACTGCGGTCGGTCCAGTCCCACCAGCACGCGAGGTGTCGGCATCACCGTCCGAGCAGCTCCAGGGCAGCTGGCAGCTTCCTTCTGAAGCAGAGCAGGCCCCGCCCTCGCTCCCTGGAGTAGCCTCGGGCTGCCTGCCCCCGGGAACAACACAGAAGAGCGTTTTCTCTGTAGCTGCAAGACAGCCGCCCTTTCTAAAAGCAACCAGTTCTCTTCATTTCAAAAAGGACGTGTCGGTGTCACAGACGGCCGGGCACAGGCGGCTTCTGATGGCTGCACGAGGCCTGCCACCAGAGTGGCTTCCGGGTGTCGGGTCCTCCGACCGCCGCAGCCTCGGGGAGGCTCCTGTACCTGCTGCAGCCCAAGCCCTCTGAGCTCTTTCCTGCAGACTCTGCAGGTGCCCCCGTCTCACATCCGGTGCCTGGGAAGCATGGCACTTGTCCCTGAGTGTGCACTGGCCACAGCAGACCTGCCCAAGGGCACGAGTCTGACCCTCAGACATCCAGCATGCTGGCTTCCCCAGTGTGGGTGTTTCAGCCTGGTGCCCGTGGCCTCCTGCCCACCACTCTCCGGAACTGACCTTGAAGTAGGCCCCTGGGGCCCTCTTCATCCTCCCATCCCGTTTCCCTCCTACCTCCGCCGACGCGAAGTCACATTACACGACTCTCCTCTTGAGCACAGCAAATACAGGCCTAGCAGTCACGCATCCAGCCAGTGCTCAAAAGGGTTCCCTGATGGAATGCCTCCCGGGAATGTTCCAGAGAAGGGCAGGTGTTTGGTTGAGCCATTGAATGCATGTCTGGATACTCATAAGGTAGGCACCACGAGACATGGTGCGGTCTGAGTGCGTGGTGTGAAATGTCGCCGCCGGAAGAGCCAGGGAGCGGGGCTTCAGGCACCCGGCTCGTTCTTTTATGGCCATGAGAGAGGGGGAGGGAGGGGGGGAGAGAGAGAGAGAGAGAGAGTGTGTGTGTGTCCTCAGCCTCTCCGGCGATGTCACTGAGCAAAGCGTAGCTGTGTTGCTGGCTTGCTTGCCGTGTGCCAGGATAGCTCATGCAGGCTGGAGTGTCCCCAGCCCCCAGCCCCTTGGTTGGGCCTCAGTGATGGTGCCTGTCTCTACTGAATGCATTTCAGAGGAGTAACATCAAATTGATGGGTGTGGGGGCTCCTCCTCCCCCAATACCTCCTTCAGGTAATACATCCCCCCTAAAATGTTCAGCCATAACCCCTGGATGTGCTGCTGTGCCCCTCCCCCCGTAAAATCGGGGCCTCTCCCAGTTCTGTCCGAGGCCCCTCAGGGCTGTGTGGAGGCCCTCCCTTGAGCTTGCCGCGTTGGCTTTATTAGTCATTTCTTAGTAGTTAGTTGAAATGCATTAAGACTTCAAGTCACCCAAGAGACATCCTTGTATATATAAGATGTTTGTGTACAAGTTGTGATTCCGCCTGATTTCTGGAGGAAGAGTGGATTCGGAGACTTTCCCAGGGTGCTGGTGGGTGGGGGCGGGAGCACACAGCCTGTGGAAGGAAATGCAGCTTCAACTTTTTCCAAGCACTTTAACTTCACAAATGAGCTGGAGATTTTTATTATTATTATTATTATTATTAATCAATAGGCCACTTGAAATAGCAGCTGAAGGTGGAGGCAAGGGTTGCTTGGGTTGTGCCCCTCCTGCTCTTTGTTCTCATGACCCAGCTCCTGAATGGAATAAGTCTGACCCCAGGGGTACTGCCCACAAGGGGGACGCTGGCAGGGACTTTGGGCCCTCCGCCCTGTGCCCAGTGCCCGGGGCCGGGAGGCTGCTCTGTCTCCCCAGCTGCCTTTGGCGGAGCATTTTGTCTTAGGCTGCCTCTACCCAGCGTCACCCTTAGGAGGCTGGCAGCTTGCCTCACGACTTCCTCCCTGTGACATCGCCTCTTCCCTCCGGGGCTCTGGTGGCGAGCAGACACAGGACACACTCAGAGGCCCCGCGAGGAGCTGTCTCACCCCAGTGGACGTACAAGGCGCTTTGGTCAGCGTGAGCTGGGGGCCCTTCCAATGGACTCGGGAACCTGAGGCTCCATGCAGGAAGTGTCCCCGGCCGGCCGGGAGCTTCAAAGGCCTGTCATTAGCAGTGACATTTCAGATGTCTGTCCCTCAGGGCTTTGTGAATCATTGTGAGACAAAAGACAAGTAATTCAACTAAACAAATTCCCTGCTTAGAACACAGGATGAGGTCGAAGTGCAGCCTTGTGTGCTTTTAACCTTTGTTATAATTTTAGCAATACTGATGGGTGTTTAAGAGGGGCCATGTTAGTATTCAGCCTGCACCTGCTATGTGCGTGTGCGTGTGCGTGTGTGTAACCGCAGGGGGAGCGCCCGCTTCTGATATTGTAAGTTATTTACACAGTGAGACGGAGTAGACTATGGTTTTCCTATTGCCAAAAGAAAAAAGGGGGCCAAGGAGCCCTTAAATGACCAAAAGGACCAGAAAAGGAGTCCACCTCCTGAGTTCTGTACCCAAATGAACACCCGGGGTGTCCAGGTGAACCCCGCGAGCCCTCGTGGGTTTAGGACAGAGGCCGGGGTGAGAAGCCGAGGTGCCGCCGGCGATCCTGTTCTCACCTCTCCACGCCTCGCGAGACCGAGGGGCTCATTGTCGTGGCAACAAGGCAACAGCTTGAAGGTGGCTCTTCCATGGACTGTTTTATGTGGGTTGATTTATCACCCGGAGCAGCTGGTACAGCAGCCTCCTGACGTGAGCAGACGGCATTCACTCCACAACGGAGTTTGCCAGAGGCCTTGTCTAGCCCAGGGAATACCGGGCTGCGGGCTCAGCCTGGCCTTGCTGGGCACCACTGTGCCCTAGCCTTTGGCTTTTCAATCAGCAAGGAGCCGGGTAGACCTGTGGCGAGGTCACTGTGCCCTAGCCTTTGGCTTTTCAATCAGCAAGGAGCTGGGTAGACCTGTGGCGAGGTCCAGCTTGATTAGCAAATTACCCCAAACTTAACAACTGTGTGGCAGGGTGCCAAGTCCTTAGCCCAGACTGTGGGAGTCCGGGAAGCAGGGAGAAGGCAGAAAGGCCCAGCCCCAACCTCAGGAGATGGGTGCAGCGAGCCCTCCGGCCGCACCCTGCCTGGTAGTCTCAGGCCAGTCTCTCCTCTTCCTCAGCGGGAGAGAAACAGCTCCAGGGGTATGGTCTCCCCCACCCCCACCGCCCCAGCCTTGGGCTCTCCTGAACCATTGCCCTCACAGCTCAGCCGGCTCCAGGGGTATGCCCCCCCCCCCCCCCCGCCCCAGCCTTGGGCTCTCCTGATCCATTGCCCTCACAGCTCAGCCGGCTCACCCTGTTTTCCTGCAGATCATTCATTCCCTTTTATGATGCTCGGGGACGTCTTTTACTAGAAAAGCTTTCAGCCGAGTTTCACAGTAAAGGGAAGTTGTGTGGCTAGAAGTACTTCTTTCTTTTTTTTTTTTTTTTAAATCCTCACCAGAGGATATTTTTTCCATTTATTTTCAGACAGAGTGGGAGGGGGAGAGAGAAAGAGAAAGGAACATCGATGTGAGAGAGACACATCGACTGGTTCCCTCCCGCACAACCCCGACCAGGACCAGGGACCGAACTGCCACCGAGGCACATGCCCTTGACCAGGCTCGAACCTGCAACTCTTGGGTCTGAGGGCCGACGCTCTGACCGCTGAGCCAAACCGGCCAGGGCTGGAAGTACTTCTCTTTGACTAGAGTGCAGTGTCCAGACCCCAGACAGGACCAGGGCCCACTCAAGCCACAGGCCACCCATCCCAGCGCGTTCTTCCCCCCGTGTGGCCCGGAAGCAGACGCGTGGTTCTCCAGATAACAAATGGCCGAGTCATTTCCAGGCCCTTCGCAGCCATCGAATGCAGTCAGTGCTGAGACCAAGGCAGCCTCGAGGGGCCTCGTTCTGGGCCTGGGTCTCCCTTGCCCTTCTGGGACGCATGTTGTCTCCTCAGGAGGGATGAAGGAGCATCCCGGGGCCAGCCTGCTTTGTTCCCTGGGCAAGCTGGTGTTAGCCTGGGTCCCCAAGTCGGCCAGCGGATGCCAGTGGGGCAGTGCTCCCGGTGCCTGGTCCTTGGTTACTGTGGGAAGCCTTTTCAGGAGAGAGCCAGGTGGTCTGGGTTTGCCCTTTCCATCACTCAGACCCAGCTCGCTCAGGACACCTGCCATGGAGGACCCAGATCCTGGCTTACCCTGCAGGTGCCAGGCTTGACAAGGCCAAGTCAGAGCGGGCCCCTGTCACCCGGAGCTCCTCCGGGCTGCACCCGACTGGGGTCTGCATTTTAACCAGGAAGAGGACCCCTGCTGGTAAATCCCTTTGCCCTGTGGCCAGGCCTAGAACCCTGTTCTCTCCCTGGCCCTGGGCCATGTGCTGTGAAAAGAGAAAGGGGGGGGGGCACCAGCACCATCCGCACCCAGGCTCTGTCCTGTGCTGGAGACAGCGGGGCGTAGGTCGTGAGGTCACGAGCCAGCCTGAGGCTGTCCCTTCCCATGGGCACCTTGAGGAAGACAAGCCAAACATTTGAACACTAGAAAATGCCAGAAATTCAGACAGACTTAGATCCCCTTAGAACATGTAAATGTGTTAGAACACAGGGGCTTCTGCTGGGGTTCGGGCGAGGTTTACATGTGTACATTGTCTTCTCTTTCCCCGTCTGTCTCAGACCTAAACTTGCCGTCTCGGCATCGCCCTTAGCCCCATGATGGAGCGCACAGTGCGGGTCTCCGTGTTCAGCTGTACAGTCCTGTGTCCCACTAGGTGGCGCTCTGCAAACTATACTTTAAGGTCGAGAAAGCGCTGAAACCCAGCACGGTTTCTTCCTGTGAAGAGAACGTGTCTGTATGTCGCACCTCAGATTGTCAGAAGGTGGAAACCGAAATAAATTATCTTTAAAGACGAAAGTCCGTCTGTTCAGTTGTTGATTTCATAGATCTGTGAGGACGCTTTCGACGGATTTTGCAGTCTGCTCAGTGATACCCGTGGCCTTTCAGGAGGAAACTTTTTTCCTGGGTCAAATAGATGTTTTCACCATTTAGGGTGAGCATTTGGGTCTTGTCCGGTGTCTCCTGGGAAATGCTAAGAAAGGAGCATTCTTCCGAACCATAAGGAGCCAGGAATCAATGGTTTGGGTACTTGGGGGTGTGTCTTAGTGCGTGGAGTGGCCCCCACCCTGGCCTGGATCTCAGCCAGGGCCTCCAGGACGACCCCAACCCCGTCCAGCTGGCATCCTGGTCCTGCTTTTCCTCTGAGCCCAAGCTGCTCACCTCTTGCATTGGGGGGGGGGGGGCTGTAAATGGAAACGGATTACATCTCCTACCTAATACAAACAGGATCCTTCATTGGTCCTTTCCAACTTGGTGGGACAGATGCATTTTGTGAGATATTTGGGCTTTCTCTCTTTCCGATGACGAGAAGTCAGCAGCGCTCTAGTGCTCTGGCCTAAGCGGGTCTGGGAGGTGAGCCCAGCAGCAAAGGGCCTGGAGAGAGTTCTTGGTACCAAAGCCTGAAGCAGCAGGCTCGGCTTGAGGGGCCTTGGGGGCAGATGGTTCCCAGGACAGAGGTGCAGGCAGGTTGCCGCACACTGTGAGGTGGGCTGGGATGTGCTCCCCGTGCCCAGCGGGGTGGGAGCCAACCTCCATGTCCCCAGCTCTCTCACCCAGTCTTGAGGACCCCACCCCCTCTTAACCGGACACGGAGGCACAGCCTGCATGGCGGATGTCCCCAGCTGACATTTCCCCTGGTGCTAGGAGGCTCCCACCCGCAGTAGTAGCTCAGGGCTAGATTCAGAGGCAGCTCCAGGGAAGAGGAAGGACCCCTCCGATGGGCAGCAGAACCCTGCAGAGCAGGGCAGGGCATTGGGCCCAGGTCCTGTCCCACCTTCCCTATAACCTTCTGCCAGATCGTTGTTTGATCCTCAGTTTCTTCATCTGTAAAACGGGAAGGAAATCATCACCTCTCCTGGAAGATTCCCGTGAGAACCAAATGCAGTATATGCAAACATACTTTGCAAATGGCGGGGTTGTGCATGTCACTGTCCAATCCATTCCCTAGTCTTCCCAATGAGGAACAAACCCAGGGATGTGCACCCATAGGTAGGGTCCTGCCCATTAATGAAAAAAGAAAGAAAAAGAACCAAAGTTTCCTGTTTAAAATTTACAGGAACAAATTTAAAATGTAGTATTCAAAATTCACAAAACCAAATATAAAAGCAATGTAAATAATGAGGCTTTCAAATGTTTCTTTGCAAGTTGCAACTTTTTTACTTCTGACTCTATCAAAGCTTAAAACTGCACTAACATTTCTGGGACACCCTGAGTGATGGTTTTTCTCTGCAAATTCGTGCTGAACACTCCTGCATGCCACCAGGCTCTCTCCTGCTGCAGCACCAGAAATGCTCTGTTGCTCTAAAAAAAAAAGCATCTCACCCCTTCTCGTCTTCGGGAAGAGGGTCTTGCTCATGAAGCCATTTTTTTTTTTTTTTTTTTTTAATCCTCATCCGAGGACATTTTTCCATTTTTTGTACAGACAGTGTGGGAGGGAGAGAGAGGAAGAGAGAGAGAGGGAAACATCGATGTGAAAGGGACACATCGAGTGGCTGCCACCCACACGACCAACCAGGGCCGGGGACAAACTGCAACCGAGGTACGTGCCCTTAGCGGGAACTGAACCCGGGTCTCTCCGGACCGCAGGCGGACGCTCTAACCGCTGAGCCAAACCGGCCAGGGCATGAAGCCATCTTTTAATGTCACGAGAAGTCACTGTGGCACTGTCTCTTTACTCTTGTATGCAGACATCTGCACAGATTGCTTGTGGAGCCGTGGGTTGAGTGTGCTCAGTGACGAGGAGGGAAAAAGCAAGGGATGCACGGGGAGGAACACCATCTAATCCAATGGCTCAGAGAGGCCCTGAAATCCATGCTGCTTCTGGCCCTGCGCACCCCACCTTCTACCTCCTGGGCCCCGAAATAGAGAAGTTAGAAATTGTGTTGCCACTTCCCAAGCGACCCCCCAGGAGATAGTGATGAGAAAGGCTCTTTGCCAACTGTGCAACCCCGTACTGAGGAACAGTTGGTCTGTGAGCATGGTGGGGCCAGAGCGGGAGGGGAGAGGCCCCACGCACAGTCAACTTACATTTCATGAGCACCTACTATGTGCCAGGCACCATCAGGACACCAGGTGAATAAGTAAAGTCATTTTTCTTTTTTCAGAAACTATCAATGAGGTTGGGGCATAGCTGAAGTTAAAAAAAAAAAAAAAATTTATATGTGTATGCACATATATATGCTAATAGTATGAAGTATGAAGTATGAGATAAAATATACAGTCGAAATGTGACTGTGTAACATAATACATCTATGAACGTGTTACTTTATAAGTTATCTATCATATAGAAAATATAGAATGTTTTAGTTATATTTTGGAATGTCCTCCTGGGCGGAATCGAGGTGGGCTTCCCCAAGGAGGTGCTACGGAGCTGAATTTCAGGTAATAAAAGTCACTGTGATGAGGATGTTCATCCTGTGGTGATCCCATGATGAAAGTTTTGTGTTCCCCTTTTTGCTGATGAGAACATCATGTACCCACCCCTTCCTTCACCTGCATCACCCCTCCACTTTCCTGGACTTCTGTGATGTGTCCCCAGTCCCAAGGTCATCCCTGCACACCATGTTCATGTGTCATGGGATGAATCAACTTACATGTTGAAGTCCTAACTTCCAGGGCCTCAGAATGTGGCCTTGTTTGGAAATAGAGTCTTATGTGTAATCAGTTAGGATGGGTCATCCTGGATAGGGCAGACCCTTACTCCCATGGGGCTGGTGTCCTGATAAAGAGGGAATTTGGACACCACTGCACACACATTGTTTAAACACTGGAGTCCCCAGGTCATAAGTGGGAAATGAGAGCACAGGTCAGGTTGGGATGCACCCCATGTTTATTGAACACCTACTATGCACCAGGCACCATGCTGGGCACATTGATCCCCAGAGTGACCTGGGAGGTGAGTGCTATTGTCCCTGTTGTACAGATGAGGAGACTCTAGCTCAGGGGACGCATGACTTGCCAAGGGTACACAGCAGAGTCCCCCCCCAAGCATCCAGGGTTGGCCCCTAGTTTTCCGACTGGGGAGTTCTTGTCCTATTGATGGAGTCCCCGCCCCATCCCCTGAGGTCCTCCTCTGGGTCTTCCTCAGCAGAGTCGTCCTCACTCACCTCCTCTTCTTTTCTCTGGCTCCGTATGGTGCTCTGAGAGCTCTAGATGATAAAAATCATCATCATCACCACAGCAACAGCATCAATGATAATGATAGTCACAAGTAGTGAGCGTTTTCTGAATGCTTTGTGTAGATCTGTTCACCTAATACCACAGCCCTACGAAGAGGGTGCTGTTACTAGCCTTATTTTGCAGTAAGGAAAGTAAGGAATCTAAGGCACAGAGAGGGTAAGAAACTTTCCCAAGGTCACTCAGCTTGGGAGCAGTGCATTTGGATCCAGTCAGCCTGGCTGGGGCCATCCTTCCTCCACTGCCTTTGGCAAGAATTATTCAGAAAGCCAAGAGACACCTCCTGCCCCCTCCACACTGTGGGGCGGGCTCTCCCCTCCTCCCACCCACTGGGTGACTGAACCTACCCTATTGGCACCAGGCTGTTTCAAGTCTTTATTTATGCTACTCAGTTAAATACGCAGAGGTTTCCCTGCAGAAGTATAAATGTGCCTGATCACAGGCCTCGTTGGGCTTGTGAGGTCACTTGTAGTTTACACGCCATATGACTTTCCTGAAGGCTGACTTCTGAAACCCACGGAGGGTGGGGTGGGTGGTGCAGGAGGTGACCATGCAGAGCCCTCGCTTCTCGAGTACACATTACTGCCGGATGCCTCTAGGGGGCGCTCAGGACACGTGGCGGCGCACCGCCGGGTGCTGCATTTATTGATTCCTCTTCCAGGTAAATCAGGGCTGACTCTCCCGCAGCACCTCCTTCTCAGCGTCTTCTTTCAAACCCGTGTTCTCAGGTGGCCTCCCCCGAGTCACATCACTTTGTCACAGATTTAATAGCCCCATCCCCAGTGCTCACCTGGCAGGGGAGAGGCCACGGGCCAGCTGCGGAGGGAGTGTTCGTGAGTGGCCGAGCGTTGTAATGTCCATAAACTCTGCACATCTTGGATCTAAAATCCTGCCGTGGAGAGACTCGGGTGGGTTAGATCCAACCAGGAAACAGAGATGGGGTGGGAGTGGGAAGATGGTGGGACAAGCTGACACTGCCAGAGTCCCCACCTGCACCGACCTACCTGGGAACCTCCTGTTCGTCATGCTGTATGATCTGCAACAGCCCCTTCAGTGTGCAGTATCATCTGCTTTATAGATGGGGAAACTGAGGCCCACGGAGGCTAAGTAATACATCCAGTCACACAGAAGGAGAGATCACCCTCACCACTAAGGAGTATCAGATGAGTGGATGCAGGAGAGACCATGGATCTGCCTTTAACCTCATAGGGTGGTTTTAATTTTTTTTTCCTTCATTGATTTTCTTTTATTAATTAATTTTTGTTACAGGTGTTTCTCCTTTTTCCCCCACTGATTCCCTCCTTCCCCTCCCTCCATGCCCTTTCCCCAGTTTGTGGTCCATGTCCACTGTTCATGCATACATGCATATAAGTTCTGTGGTTTATCTCTCCCCCACCACCCCCCCTCTTTAGGGGATTGTCAATCTGTACCCCACTTCCGCATCTCTGGGACTACCCCCTTCCTCAGACTGTTATGTTCATTATATTCCACAAATAAGTGAGATCATATGAAACTTGTCTTTCTCTGTTTGGCTTGTTTCACTTAGGATGATACTTTCCAGGGCCCTCCATGTCGTCTCAAAGGATAAGAGATCTTTCTTTCTTACCGCTGCGTAGTACTCCATTGTGTATATGTACCACAGCTTTTTTATCCATTCGTCTACTGATGGACACTTGGGCTGTTTCCAGATCTTAGCTATTGTAAATAGTGCTGCTACAAACATGGGGGTACATATATTTTTTCTGATTGGTGTTTTAGGCTTCTTAGGGTATATTCCTAGAAGTGGGATCACTGGGTCAAATGGAAGTTCAATTTTTAATTTTTTGAGATAACACCATATTGTTTTCCATAGAGGCTGCACCAGTCTGCATTCCCACCAGCAGTGCACTAGAGTCCCCTTTTCTCCACACCCTCGCCAACACTGGTTGTTTGATCCTTTATTGATTTTAGAGAGGGAGGAAGTGAGAGGGAGAGAGAGATAGAAACGTTGATAAGAGAGAACATTGATTGGCCGCCTCCTGCACGCCCCTCACTGGGGATTGAGCCCACACCTGGGCATGTGCCCTGGCTGGGAATCGAACTGACAACCTCTTGGTGCATGGGTCAACACTCAGCCACTGAACCACACCAGCCGGACTCATATGGTGGTTTTAAAGCTTATCTACAGATTCTTTGACATGTCTCTCACTGGGCGCTAGATTATAATTCTCCTCCCCTTAAGTGTGGCTTTAGTGACTCACTTCTAAGAACAGAAAGCAGGAGAAGTGACACTCAGTTCCTTCTGAGGTTAGGTCACAAAAGGTGATACAGTTTCCTCCTGGCTCTGCCTCGGGATGGACCGTTCCTGGTCCTGCACTGTGCTGTGAGGAGGCCCACGTACTCATTACTGCCGGATGCCTCTAGGGGGCGCTCAGGACACGTGGGCAGGTATTCGGTCTCCAGGACCCCCCCAGGACCCAGACAGGGTGGGCTTTGTGTGTCTGCAGCACCTGCAGCTGTCCAGGGCCTTGAGTTCTGAAAGAATCCACTTGTCATTGTCTTCAAATTCTTAATAATTATTCAACAGAAGGCCCACATTTTCATTTTGCACTGAGCTCTGCAAATCATGTGGCCTAGACTGTACCCAGACAACAGCCATCGGTGACCAGACATGAGTGAGGAAGGCTTTGAAAGGGATCCACCCCCAGCTACTGACTGACTGAAAACTGATGCACAACCCAAGTGAGGACCACCCAGCTGAGCTCACCAAGCCCAGAAACACTGAAGGTAATCCAACAAGTGACCGCTGTTGTACACCACTGGGTGTGGTGCGTGTCATAGGTCACTGAGGCAGAGCATGGGAGATTTTCATCAGCTCAGAGGGTAACAAGCACCTCGTAAACATCAAACAATGGCGCGCATCCGCCTGGAGAGGCTTTGTGTCATTGTTGACTCATGCGCTGCCTCCTGCATGTGCCCCTCCTCCCCAACCCCTGCTGGGACCCAAGCCCAAAACCTGGGCATGTGCCCTGACCTGGAATTGAACTGATGACCCCTTGGTGCATGGGACGACACTCAGCCAACTGAGCCACCCCGGCCGAGGCCATTTGCTTGTTTTTAAACACCCAAGTGATGACGGACATGTGGACATTCCAGATATAGAGTGTTTGGAAATACGCCATCTCTAGGTTTGGCACTGAGGGGCAGATGTTTAAGACAGTTCATCAGAATGAGTCTTTAAAATTATAAAAACTACAGACTGCTGCCAACAAAAACCACTTCTATCGAGACAACCCAGAGCGAATGCAGCCCCGCGCCACCAGACAGCACCTGGGGCGCTTGTGACCTACCTCCAGATCCTCCTGCAGGTCGTAGCTGTCCAGGCTCTGGAAGGCGCTGGAATACACCTCCACCGCTTTGGCGTGGAAGGCCATCTCGATGCCCACGAAGTCCAAGAAGATGTTCTGTGGGGAGGGCAGTGGTGAATCACATAGCAATTCTGTTGGAAGGAGAGTCCTGGGGTCCCCTCGCATGTGGACAAACGGGGGGTTGGGGGGAAGGGGGGATTAGTCGTCCTTACAAGGACAGGTCCCAGGTCAGTATTATTTTTAATTTGTTTGTTTGAACAGACAATTCATTCCATTCAAAAGCTGCCTCGCGCAGGGATTATTCCAGAAATGTAGAGGCCTCGTTTTTCAGGGAGGACTTTCTGAAGGGCTCCTTTCCTTGGCTCGGTCACCCTGGGCTCATCCACTCCACCTTTGCTTCTCTCATTTCGAGGACAGCTGTGTGCAGGTTGGTGGCTGCAAACCTTCAGGCTCAGCCACCCCCGGGCTGCGTGCGTCCTCCTGGAGAGGGAGGGGTGCTGCTGGCAGACATGGCTCAGCCCGGAGGCCCCACAACCTGACAAGTCAGTGCATTAACATGTAATTAGATGTTGGCTTCTCTTGATCTGATGGTTCAGCTTGGCTCATTAAGCTCTTACAGAGTTCCTATTGCCTGTTCGGCCCCAGTGGGGGCTCTTATTGTGTGCAGGGCCTAGGATAAGCTCCTACTATGTGCCAGGCCTGAGAGGAGATTCCTACTGTGTGCAGGGCCTAGTACAAGCTCCTACTGTGTGTCAGGCGCCTGTGGAGGCTTCTTTGTGTTTGGGGCCTAGCACGAGCTCCTGCTGTGTTCGGGGCCCTAGCAAGACACAGGCTTGGTGCCAGGGGAGGAGCCTGCAGTTTGGAAACACACCACTTCAGATAACATAGGAAGCACCTGGGGGAGGTGACCCAGCGGAACACCGAAAGGCAGCCTGGGAGAAGACAGAGGAGAGGGTCCCAAAGCTGCTGGAAATACCTGCCTTCTCCCGTCCTGTGCTTGGCAGGCAGGGCCTGGGAAATGACATCCTCTCCAGCCTCAGTTTATTCATCTGCACTAGAGGGACAGGGCCGTCCCTGTTCACAGAGCCCTAGAATTCAATTAGCTCTCAGTCTGGGCTGCCTGCATCAGCACCAGCCCCACCCAGGAGCTGGTCAGAAATGCCCATTCTGCAGCGCACGCAGACCCACGGAGTGGGGGACCAGGACAGGCCTGTCGCTCTGTGGTTTAAGGAGCCCACCAGGTGACTTCTGAAGTATGCTCAGGTATGTGAACCCCTGCTGGAAAGCGTCACTTACATTCTTTTATAGGGGCTGGACAGTTACTTTGGAAATATGATCATTTTATTAGAAGTGTGACCTAAAACAAATCGGTGGTAATCATTATTTTTTCTCTCTCTCAAGATTTGGAGGGCTTTTTAGGGAATGGCTCGGTTAAGTGTGCCTTACCAACTTGACCCCAGAAGTTTGAAGGATACCCACTTTATTTATTTTGTAATATATTTTTATCAATTTGTTTAGAGAGAAAGGAAGGGAGAGAGAGAGAAACATCGAAGTGAGGGAGAAACAGCAATCAGCTCCTCCTGCACGCCCCCTACTAGATCAAGCCAGCAACCCCGGCATGTGCCCTGACCGGGAATCGAACCAGGACCTCTCCGTCCATGGGACGATGCTCAATCCACTGAGCCACATGGGTCGGGCTAAGGATGCCCACTTTAAACTGCAGCTCCTGGTGGCCCCTGACCATGGAGGGAGGCTGCGTCTTCACTCTCGCTGGCACCCCTCGGAGCTCTGCTTCCAGGCCTCGAACACCAGGTGCTTAACAATGGTCAGCTGGTGGTTCTCAGTCCTGCCTGCAACCTAGATACTTGAGCAGTAACTACCACTGTTAGCTCACTCATTTATTCATTTCCCAAATATATACTGAGTACCACCAAGTGCCAGGCCCCGGACCTGGTGCCCAGGACTCAGCAGGTGACAGGACAGGCAGGGGGTCTGTGGGAGGCAAGCATGGAACCCCAAGTTCTCCACCACACCCTCCACTCCCTGGGGAATGGCACGTGGCAGGATGGGGCCTGTGATGAGGCAGGATGTCATCTCCATTACGATGGGGCATCGCTTTGCTGGCTGTAGTGTTCCCAGCCTCAGGCATAGCACCTGGCACATAGTAGGTATGAGCCGAATATTTGTTAGATTAACGAGTAAATTAAAGATATAATAAATCCGTCCTGCTGAGCTAACTGCCCCAGAGAGAGCAGAGCAGAGTGTGTTAAGAATAGGGCTGAAGCCCTGGCCGGTTTGGCTCAGCGGTTGGAGCGTCGGCCTGCGGTCCAGAGAGACCCGGGTTCGGTTCCCGCTGAGGGCACGTACTTCGGTTGCAGTTTGTCCCCGGCCCTGGTTGGTCGTGCAGGTGGCAGCCACTCGATGTGTCCCTTCACGTCGACGTTTCTCTCTCTCTCTCCCTTCCTCTCTCTCCCTTCCACTCTATCTGTACAAAAAAAATGGAAAAATATCCTCGGGTGAGGATAAAAAAAAAAAAAAGAATAGGGCTGAACCCGTCTATGGGTCCAGGTAATTTTCCTTGAGAGATGAGAGCCTTCCTGGCAGAGGGCACAGCCTGTGCAAAGGACCTGTGGTACCAAGGGGTTTGGTGCACTTGAGCTTGGAGTGGAATGTCTGTGATGAGGCTTGGGGACTGGGCTGGGGCTTCTGGAGCCTTGGGGAGGATTTAGGCCTTTATCCTTGGAACAAGGGGAGTCACAGGAGGGTGTTAAACCTAGGAGTGACAGATTGGAGCTGCCTTTGGAGAGATCCTTGAGGTTGCAACTTGGAAGATGAACCAAGAGAGGGTCCAAGTGGATGCAGGGGCCTGTGTGACCAGCTTGTCCTTCAAGACCCTGATGCCCTGAGGCCCCCTTGTAAGAGCTGGGCTCTGAGTTCGGGTTCTGGGCTGCACTGGGGTGGCATCCAGACGGAAGGGGGAAGGCACCCAGGCGTTTAGAGCTTCGTGGAGAAAAGGAGGAAGTCAGGGCAAGTCCTGTGGGTCCTTGTGTGGAAAGAAAGGGGGGTGGGGGAGACAAGTTCTGCCAAGTTCTTTTGGTGGGGAGCAGGGCCTGGGTGTCCAGGGGCAGGGCTGCTGAATGTTGGCTTCCGGGCAGGCCAGCTGTGAGGGACAGCTGCCCTGGGCAGCCGGCCTCCTACCCCCGAGGCCAGGATTAGGCTGGGATTAACTGTGCCGAGAGCTGAGTGGGCACAAGGTCACACACTCTCACACACTCACATGCGCGCGTACTCTCTTACAGGTGTGCGCGCGCACACACACGGGCACACAGGGCAGCCCTCGGTACTTCCAACACAGGGCAGACCACCCCTACCTGCAAGTCCTTCAGCTTCTGCTTCTGGAAGGCGCCGAACATCTCCTCCAGCTGGTGGGTGGTACGGCTGGCGTCCACCGAGGCCTTCTGCACGCTGGTCTCCGCCTGCCCCGGAGAAAGTATCGGGGGTGGTTCCATTCTGGGTCATTCTCTGTCTCCTCGCCCTGCTGGTAGGCCAGCTCTCCTGGGGGTCCCTAGCCAATCTGGTCATCGAAGAAATAGCTGAATAGGACCATGGCTAAAAGGCAGACGCCGCTTAGACAGATTCGCTTGTTACCTGTGTGACCTCATGCAAGTCGCCTAACCTCTCTGAGCCTCGATTTTCTTGCCTGTAAACAGGGGACAGTGATAAGACCCACCTTGCAGGGTTGTGAGAATTAAATAGTGGGCACCTGCTGAGGTATTGTTATGACAGGTGCACGTCAGACAATAATTCGTTCCCGCATGTGGAACATTCCTAAGTTGATTAACGAATTCCTTGGCTCCTTGGATGGACAGCTATATGACCTGACTTCACACAGGCACACAAAGAACCTGGCTTTTAGGGTCACGTGCCCTCAGCTGAGTTCCGGCTTTGCCCTGTTAGCTTCCTTGTGACCTTGGGCAAGACACCTTTCTCAGCCTGGGTTTCTCATCTAGAAGTGCCTGCCCGGTGTGAGTGTGGAATAGGTAACCCGAAAAGGGGAGTGATTACTGACCTGTTGATTAGTGTCAATGGTGGGATGGAACCCAGGGCTCCTGGCCCCCAGCTTACCCCCACCACCCCTGACGGTTCTATCCTGAGCCGGGCACACACCTGCCCAGGGAAAAGCTCACCTCGCCGACCTGTGAGGTCATTCACTACCTGCACGCGAGTCTACCGTCCCCAGACACAGGTGACCCTCACCTGGGACTGAGAAGTGTTGTTAAGGAGACAGGTTAACCAGCAGCCCCCACCAGAGGGCGCCGTGACCACCGGTCACCCTGGCCCCCAGCCCAAGGCCCAGCTCCCGGAAGGAAGGATACGATTATTTGCCTATCTGAAGGCGACGTCTGCCTCAACTTCTCCAGCTTTTCCAGTTGTTTGATCTCGTTATTCCGGGCACGTTTGCATTTCTTGATCTCGGCCTACCAGAAGAAGGAGGGCTGTCTCCTGGGGCTCCAGCGCAGCCAGCCCCAGACACTGCCCACCCCCCAGTGCGGTGCCCTCACTCACCCGCGTCCGCTTTATCTGAGGCCCGTAGAGCTTCAGGGGGTTGACCACCTTCATCTCCAGCCTCTCGACCTGGGGGAGCACAGACACGCAGAGAATCAGAGGGGACAGAGCCAGGGAGATGGCTGGAGACTACGCAGCCTGGCTTTCCAGCGTCGTCCTCACGGGGGCGTGGGGCGGGGGGAGGGACAGGAGAGCATGGGACACCCTCCCTCACCCTTAGGGGTGGGAGCACCAGCCTGGGCTCAGGGCTCTGCCTCCCAAGGGCTTGGGCAATCATTTCATCTCGCTGAGCCTCGTTTCCTTGCCTGTAAAATGGGTATAATGACTGTACCCACCCAGGGATGGGAACAGGAAGGGGACCTGTTGCTATTTTAGTTCCCCCAGCTGCCCTTGGATCTCAGTTAGGAGACTATATAAACCTGCTTGGAACACTAAATAGCCTGGGATTCGGAGCTGACTGTGCATGTAGCCCTCAGGAACCCAGCAGGGTCGGCGAGGGGGATGCCACACACCGCTGAGCCAGGGTCTACGTGCCAAGCCTAATACTAGAGACTTTAATAAACAATATCAGGAATGGTGAGCACAATGAACGCTCATGTTAAGGGCTTACCCCATGCCCAGCACTGTTCAGAATAAAGAAGTGTCACCTTGGCCCTGGCCGGTTTGTCTCAGCAGTTAGAGTGTCAGCCCACAGACAGAAGGGCTGCTGGTTTGATTCTTGGTCAAGGGCAAGTACTGGGTTTCAGGTTCAATCCCTGGCCCCTGACTGTGTGGGAGGCAGCCAATCAATGTGTCTCTCTCACATCGATGTCTCTCTCTCTCTCTCTCTCTTCCTCCCTCCCTTCCACTCTCTCTAAAAATCAATGGAAAAATATCCTTGGGTGAGGATTAACAACAACAACGAAAAGAAGTGTCACCCTAGATCAGGCCTAGGAGTGCCCCCCAAGGGTTCCTGAAAACCTGATTGCCAGGTGCCACCCCAAAGATTCTGACTCAGCAGGTCCAGAGTGTGGCCCAAGACTCTGCATTTCTAACAAGCTTCCAGGTGAGGCTGATACCTTGAGGATGGGCTCCCTGAAAACCTGGCTCACCGGGTGGGCCAGGGGAACTGCACCCCACCCTCTCCCCAACCCCCAACCCCGCCCCCCCCAGCCCCTTCCTTCTCCACTGAGGCTTACGACCCTTGTAATGGTAAACACAAATCTAAAAAAAAAAATTTACCCAGGGCCAAAAGGGAAAGGGATTTTCCTTCCCTTTCCCTAAAGCATTTCTCTTAGAAAACTTGCCACTGTGAGTCCATTCTCTGTCCTTTGGAGATGTATCTAAAGGTTACCTTTTTCAAAGCTAAAGAAGCCTCCTGTGGGTTTTACAACCCAGGAGCCGGCAGTCTGGTCTTTGAAGTGCAAACACGGCCCAGGAAGGCAGTGTCTCCTCTCCGGAGTTGCGCCCTGGTGCCCGGCTCCAAGCTCTAGGCACCTGCCTGCCATCCAGGCGTGAGAGGTTCGACTTTTCCTCTGCATAACGACCATTAGCTGGCACAGGTGGCTGCGCACCACCAGGTGGAATGAGGAAGTCCCGCATGATAAACGTGACAAACGGGGCCGCATCCCCTGGCCGAGGACCAGCCACCCCGTCTGCAGAACCTGGAGCCGCGCCCGTGAGCGTTCTTGCTGCCCGGCTAGGCAGGGGGCAGCTTCCTGTCTGTCTCCACCATCACTAATCGGATCTCCTGCGCACGCATCGGTCTGGTTTAATGCTCATTTAGTAGAAAAGCTGTTTTGTTCTTTGCTACGACCATAGACAGCTTTGGGGGCTGGCAGGAGATTTTTATTTCTAATTATTTTCTTAACACGCTGCAGCCCCCTTGGCCTCAGCCCCAGGATGTCCGTCCCTTCCCTGGCCCTGGGAATGGGCTCAGGACGGGTTCCCTGGGTCTCCTTGCCTGTCCACCGCTCTCCGTCCTATAGACGCCGCCGTGGGAGGAGATGTCCATTGGCTGTGACCCTTCGAGGGCTGCCCCGCCCCTCTGGCCACCCCCACCCCCTGCAATGGGCTGGATGCTCCGCAGCCCGCTCACCTGGGCCTGCCGGTAATCCTGCACTTTGGCCAGGTCCTCGGCGAAGTTCCTCATGGCGGCCCGCATCCCGGGGCTCTCGGTGTTGGCGAAGTCGATGAGCTGCTTGACCAGCTGGTCGGCCTTGTCCCGAAGCCGGGCTGTCTTTCGGGTGTAGGCAGCCAGCAGCGAGCAGAACTGGCCAAAGTACTTCTCTGCGTTGGTCACGGTGTTCTCCATCACCCTCGCCTGGCTGTCCCTGGGGAGGCGGGGGCCTGAGGGGGCACCTGGTCTGCGTCACAGGCTCACCCACCCATCACCTTCCTCCTCGGTGGTGAGCACCATGGCAGACGTCGGGTCCCTGGGACAACTCTCAAGGTTAGGTGTCAGCCCATCAAGACTGATTTGGGAGATCCCTGGGTCGCAGAGCTGGCCAGTGGCCAGGTAGGACCACCGATGCGGGTTTGGCTCCAAACCCGAGTCTCCTTCCCTGCAACCCCTTAGGGGGCTTGTTTTGTCTCCCTGGGAGTTACTGTTTATGCCCTGGCTGCCATGGTCTCTTCCTTCTGACAGTCCCTCTTTTCTATCTTCACCTCCTCCTCCGAACCCTGAAGTTTTTTTCTTCATTGAACTTTCTGGGAGACCGGTTTTAGGTTTACAGAACAAGAGTGGAAAGCACGGCAGGTTCCCCTGTACCCGCTCCCTGAGCACACGCGTTTTCCGTCAGTAACATCGTAAGATCGTGCGTAGCTGGACGACGTTTGTTACAAAAGAGGAGCCAACAGTGATACATTATTCACTGAAATCCATCATTCACATTAGGTTCACTGTTAGGGTTGTGCATTCTGTGGGTTTTGACAAATGCATGCCACTGTCACAGTGTCATAGAGAGCAGTTTCCCTCCATTCATCCCTCCCTCCCCCAGCCCTGAAGCTTTAGTTCGTCCTTCCTGCATGTCCCCGATCACTGGCTGCCTGCTTGGCTTCTCTCGCCCTCCAGTCTTGGGCCGGGCGCTGTGTGCGCTGGGGCCTGGGGCCTGAACATCGCGGACCTTCGATGGGAGGGTGCTGAATGAGTGAAGGACCCACTGAATTTAGTCTCCCCTAAAGAGCCTTGGGCACTCACCTCCCTCAGGCTGTCTACCCCAGCTCCCAGCCCCTGTCCCCAGGGCCTCCCTGACTCTCTCCAGTTGACCAAAGTCCCCTGTGCAACCCTCCAGTCACATCCCTAAAGCTGGAAACGGTGAGGAGGGCCCTTCGTCCTCCTCCTAACAAGCCCTAACTCTGCACCACGCCACAGCTTGCAAAACACTCCGCACGCATTACCCAAGTAAGCACCGTTACTGTCACTATTTTAAAAAAAATGAGTAAACTGCCCGGCCGGTGTGGCTCAGTGGTTGAGCGTCAACCCATGCACCAAGAGGTTGCTGGTTCAATTCCTGGTCGGGGCACGTGCCCAGGTTGTGGGCCTGATGCCCAGTGGGGGTCATGCAGGAGGCGGCCAATCGATGTTCTCTCTCATTGATGCTTCTATCTCTCTCCCCTTCTCTCTCTCTCAAATCAGTAAAGAAAACAATTTTGAAAATGAGTAAACTGAGGCCCAGAGAGGTGAAGTGTCTTGCTCAAGGTCACACAGCTGCATGAGGCATCAGCCTCTGCACGGGGAGGGAGTCCTCGGAACCTCCCCACCCCCCATCAGAATCACCTGAGGCCCAAGTTAAGCACGTGGTTTCCCAGGCCCCCCGCCCAGATTTATGAACCAGAATCCCTGTGAGGGAGGCCCAGGGGGCTGCAGTTTTCAAAAAGTGCCTCGGACGATTCAGAGACACCTCAGGTTTGCGCCCTCAGAGGGACCAGGCGTGGAAACAAGGGGTAAGGGGCCTGCAGGTTGTGAGAGAGGAGTGATAGACGCAGGCCGGAGAGAGTGGGGTTGGGACAATTCCACAGAGGGGGTGGTGCCTGGTGTGGCTTTGAAGCCTGAAGGGAAGTTGGGGATGGACCCTGTGAATGTGGCTGCCCCAGAGCTGTGGCAGTAACGCTGGAGAAGCCTCTTGACCTTGAGGCGAACGGGGTGTGGAAGAAGCTCACGCATCACTCCCCCTCCCTACCTCCATCCCCATGGAGTACCCCATTCACCTTGGTGCATGGGGTCCTGCAAACCCAGCCTGCCTCTCCCTACCTCCCAGCCAGGGCCACTTACCTGAAGAGAACCACGTTCATTGTGACCAGAGGCACCAGGTGTCCTGGTCTTGGGGAATAAGGACAGGGCCCCAGGGGTCCTGCTGGCCTGTGAGAGGCAGGGCAGGGCTGGGCACAGCTGCGTGGTCCTGGCTCAGGGGACGCTGCCACCTGGTTGCTGGGCAACGTGGCCACTCACAGTAGCCCTGGGAGGAGACACTGCTGGTTGCCTGGCAACCTCTCCCCAGGCCAGCCACTCCCAGGGGGTTAGGAGGGCCTGCCCAGCCTTGCATTGGCTCAGGGCAGTCCCAGAGAGGCCCCCAATCTCCCCTTGAAGGTGGAGGTTCTTGTGGGCCCCAGGAGGTGGCAGGGATTGGATGTAGGACAGCTTGCATGGGACTCAGCCCTGAGCCCCGCTGTGTATGGGCCCTGCATGCAGAGGCCCCTCTTCCTTCCAGGAGGGCTGGCAGGACCCTAGGAGATCTGGTTACTCCGGATGGGGTGTGGAAAAGCGGGGAGGGAACTGGGGAGTCTCGAGGCTTTGAGCTGAATGGAGGGGACAGGGCATCAGCCCAAAGGAACATTTTAAACATTGTCATCATTTTACTGTTTATCCTCCTTATTATAAAAACTACTCATTCCTTGTTAGAAAAGTAAGAAAATAGAGATAACACGAAAGGAAGACAATGTAACAGCACATCTAACATCGTAGTGATTTGCTACAGTACCTTTTACTAACCGTGTACACTTCCGTGTGTTTACATTGTATCTCAAGGAAAGAAAAGAGAAACTAGTAACCACAGCAGTGCTGAGAGATCAGGCGGGAAGAGGGGCAGGTGTGGGAGAAACAGGTAGCAGAAGGTGAGTGACTGTCGCCCTGTGAGACTCACTGTAGATCCTGTTCCCTGGAGGTCTTCATAATGAAGAGCCTTGAATAAATAAGCATGTAGAAATGGAAAGACTTCAGAGTCAGCAAAACACGGGTTCAAATCCCAGCCCCCAGCCTGGTGTGACCTTGAGCCAGTCACCTGATCTCTCTGGGCATCAGTCTTCTGCACCATGAGATCATGGCAACACCTACTTGTCTCATTGTCAGCTGAACTCCGTCCTTGGTGTGAGGGTTAAAGGACAGGGGCTGCTGTTCCTTATGTGGAGGCCAGGGTGGGATGGGTCCCCAGGGCCAGGTCCCATCACCCCCCGTCCTGTGCTGGCTGTCAGCCTCCTCCCCACACCTCACTGCACCTGGCGCTCCCCTCAGGTGCTGAGTCATGTGTAGAAGTAACTCAGCTGCTTCCTGCTGTCCTTGCATTGTTTGGGCCACACCACCTCCCCTGGCTCCCCACCCGGTGGCCTGACCAGTCCCCTGTGGCTCATCCTGTGTGGCGGGGAAGGGGCTCCTGTGCCCCTGCTCTGTGCTGCTCAGCTGTCCCTGTTCCTGGTCAAACCCCTCTGACGCTCTCAGCTCCACCACTCTTGGGGGCTGCACTGTGTTGAATAGCGTCCCCCAGATGTCCACCCGCCCATCCGCCAGAGCCTTAGAAAGCGGCCTTATCTGGAAAGGGGATCTTTGCAGCTGTAAGTGGCCGAGCTGAGTCACACGGAGCGGGGTGAGCAAGGTTGACTGGGGTCCTCACAGAAGAGAAAGCAGAGACACAAGGGGAAGACGGCCATGTGACAACAGGGGCAGAGACCGGAGGGATGTGGCCACAAGCCAAGAAGCACCAGGGATTGCCTGGTGGTCCTCCCCTAGCGCCGTCAGAGGGCTGTGGCTCTGCTGACACTTGGATTTGGGACTTCTGGCCCCCAGAACTGGGAGAGGATCCGTCCCTGTTGTGAGCTCCCAGGTTGGGGCAGTGCATATGGCAGCCCCAGGATTCTCACGCAGGGTCCTAAGAGAACCCCCCGACCCACAGCTGGCTGTGCTTCACCCTCCCATAGGGGCAGGCTGGCCTTCAGGCCCGTCCCCCTCCTCTCCACTCTGAGCTGGTCCCTCCTCCAATCCCGCAGCTCCCACACCCTCCTCCTCTGTGCCCACTTGCCACGAACACTCCCCTGGGCTTCCTCTCGTCTCTCCTGAAAGGCCAGCTCCTAGAGAGAAAGGACCGTACCTTATCTTTTTTAAAAATACGTTTTCTTACTGATTTTAGAGAGGAAGTGGGGGGAGAGAGAAAGAGAAACATCGATCAGTTGCCTCCCGTATGTACCCCGACCGGGACTGAACCCACAACCTAGGCATGTGCCCTGACTGGGAATCGAACCGGCGACCCTTCTGTGCACAAGATGGTGCTCAACCAACTGAACCACACTGGCCAGGCCTGTACCTTATACTTTTTATTACCCCGTTGGTTGGTTAACTCCCTCATGCAAAGCTTCCCGGAGCCCCCTCCGTGTCAAGAAGTGCCCACGACAAAGAAGACCCAAGGCGCCCTCCTGTGGGGGTTCCTGACCTCCTCCTTGGCAGCTTCTCAGGGCCTCGACCCAGCCAGCATCTCCGCTCCGTCTCTTCACCCCACACACTCCTCCTAGCAGCTTCAACGAAGCAGCCTCTCCTTATGGAGAAATTCTTCCCAACTGACTTTCTTACTTCTCCTCTCTACACCCCTTCGTACAAGAACTTTGCCAACAAGTGGCCTTTCCGCCCTCTCTGTTCCCTCCCCTCCCACTGGACTTTCCAGCCACGGCGTCTGGGGTCAGCCGCACCGGGCCATTGCCAAACAGCGCCCTCGCTCGGCCCTGTCCGGCTCCGCCTCGCCCGCCTCGGGGCGTCTAGGCCCATCTTACCCTCCTGAGCCATCTCGTCCGCCCCCGGGGGAGCGGAGCCACTAGCCACGCCCAATCACACCTCCCCGCCTCTCTGCAGATGCCTGCTGCCCGCTGAACAGCCCACCAGGAACTTTCTCATGCCCTGAAAACTCAAAGCGGCATTTAGCATATGCAAGGCACCCCGACCTTACTGGGCTCCCCTCACCTCGCTGTTCTACGTCTCCGCTTGAGCCAGAGAACGAAGCGTGGTCCTGCGCCTTGCGCTCCTCACTCCCTGCACCTTTGGAGAAAAGCTCAAGGTGGCCCCGGCCTTCATTCTACCCCTAATGCATGATGCCCCTCCCTCCTCTCTCTTACTCTCCCCCTCCCCCACCCTCTTTCCCTTGGTCTCTCTGTCTCTCTCCAACTTAATTAAGGACTCACGCAGGTAATTCTCATATTATAGTAATAATAATAACTAACATCTTCGGGGGGCCCTGTGACAGCCTGTGTCCTCATTCGCTCCTCACACGCTCAGAAACCACAACAGACTCCTTTTCTTAGCAAAGGGTGTGTGTGTGTGTGTGCGCATGCGCGCGTGCTTCCAGCAGGGAAGCATCATTGGAGACCCCAACATTTCACTTTAAAATGTCATCTTTCCAGTTAACCAGCTGCGATGGTCAGTTGGGCTGTCGAATCCACTCATTTCATCCAGCAGGAGTGTGTATTGCTGTGAAGGTCCCAGGTAGGTGTGGCCACATCTGCAGTTGACTTTAAGTAAAGGAGAGGGCACTGGACGGGGGCGGGCCTCACCCAGTCGCTGGGCCACGGTAAGCGCAGGACTGAGGCTTCCTGGAGAGGGAGTGATCCTGCCTCCAGACTGCAGTGTTCGCTCTTGCCTGGGTTTCTGGACCCGTGGATTCGGACTTGCCAACCTCCACAATCACTTGAGCCAGTTCCTTAAACTAAATCTCCTCATCTGGCCAGTTGGCTCTGTCTGGAGACCCCAACGCTTCTAGGACAAGGAGAAGCTGCAAAGTCTTTCCAGATTTCTGCCCCTCAGGGAGGGTGGGGGCTGAGTGATAGGCAATGGCCACTAGAGGGCAGCAGAGACCTTCTCGTGGGGGATTCCACGCTTGACGGCAAAGTGGGCTGAGCAAATCTCCAGAAAACACCAGAGGGAGCAAATCAGAGAGAAAAAAAAAGCTGCCTTCACACACGATGGGAGAACGAGCAGCAGGTCAGAGGGAAAGGGCAACGGTTTAATTCACATCTTAGAAACTTTAAGAAACTTTAACAGATGAAAACCACTTTCTAGCAGGGCCCCACGGAGACATCTTGTGGCCAGAGAGAGAAAAGCTTAGAGATGGGGAAGGGGGTGCAGAGGCTGGGGGCAGGGAGAGGGAGGCCCCTCCTGACAGTCTCACCCACCCAGACCCCTTCACTGCCCTTGGCTGCAGGGGTGTGGAGGTCTGTGTCCTTGAAGAAACTGCACAAACCCCCCCTGCACCCCCTATTTAGAGTCCCATGGGCTTTCTCTCTTTCCTATAAATGTATGTTTGCTGAACTGCACGAGAAAGGGTTGCAGACATCTCGACCCTTAGCCCCAAACCCAGTGCACACCTCAGAAGAGCAAAAACATTCTCCTGAGAGACCTCATGTGACCATCACACCCAGGAAATTAACACGAATGTGGAGCTGGTATCCAGCACCCCTTCTCTCGAAATTCCCGGTTCCCCAGTTGCCCTGCTAAGGTCACTGATGGCTGGTTTTCCACTGAGTCACCCTTGCAATCCCTGCCTGAGTCTATTTAGTCTCCTCGCATCGGGGAACTGCTCTCCAGCCTCTCTCTCTCTTTTTTTTCAGAATATTGACTTTTCTTTCTATCTTGTAACGTTTTATTTGGAAACAATTTCAGTTTGTACAGAAATAATACAAGGACTCCTTCAGCCACGCTCGCTCCCCGGCTGTTAACATGACAGTGTCTGTTTCGCAGCGGTCTCTGTCTGTGCAGCTGATCACCTGAGCGAGCTGCCGAGCCCGTGCCCTGCACCCCAACATTCTGGGTGTTTCCTCAGCACAGGGCCAGCCTCTTACACAGCGCACATAGCAAGTCAGACAATGAACAGTTGCACGTCACTTATTACTTAATCTACACACATTATTCAGATTTCACACTTGTCCCAATAATCTCGTTTCAGTAAATAAGCTGACAATTTCCTCCTGGTCCAGGATCCAGTCCAGGGTCACCTGCTGTGTCTACAGCTGGTACGGTGCTGACATTTCTGTGGACTCTGGGT